AAAAACTAACTGTTCTAAGACTTCTTCAGTAAAAGTTTGCAAACGTAAACTCTGAGTTGAAGGGTTCAACAGAGTGGAAAATGTTACAAGGTTTGTTAGCGGTTGTTCAGGACGGGGTTTCATCGGAAACACGGCGCCTGACTCGAATTACCGACTGCACGTGACGCGGGGAACTTGAAAAAAAAAGTTTTTTTATCCTTCCCCCCACATCCTTAATAGATTGATTGGGCAAAAAATAGAGCGGATACTTAAATGAACGAAAGTAATTTAATCACATTGTTGTCATTCTTTTCCATATCCGCCCATGCACATAATGAACCTTTATTGTAAGAAATTAAAAAGAAACGCGCATCACTTTGATACTGTTCCTTTCATAAGTATAATGATACACTTTAAACTTTCGCGTTGCATTATACTAACATTACAGACGGGGGTAAAAGCAATGAAACTGGGATAATAGATGAGTGTGCAAATACTTATTAAATTGTTGCATAATGATACTGTGAAGATGGTTGAATCTCGATGCTGTGAAATACCATTTCCCTTTACCGTGTTCGCTATATTAACACTAGTTGGTCATTACGACCACCCTAACGTTTAGTCGTGGGAGGAAAGCCCTAGCTGTAATTGGAACCGCCGTCGCATATGTCGAGGTAATTACGCGGCGACAAAAGGCCGTGGTTCGCGGTGACATAACCTATAGCCACGCCGCTTCCGCTTCCTATCGGCAGCAGTATGGCTTCCATAGAATACGTCGAGCACTTGACCTGACACTGTTTTATTAACTAGCTTGTTTAAAATATCGTTTCTTGTAAGTAGAACAACATTTATTGTTGCCGAATTCCTATTTATAAACTGAAAAAACACATACAAATTTATCGTGTTCGTATTCATGAAAACTCGTGGTTAACGTTCACCCGAAATTCTATTAAGGTCTTACCGGATTGGTGGAACATTGCATTCCAGAAATATTTTTTTTTATTGTGCTTTGTTATTTTGAAAAATGCGTTCAGCGATGTGAACAGCAATCTATTCTGCAAAGTTCACCTTAAAACTAGGGAGCTTTATTGAACAAAGTTTCAGTCTATTGTTCCAGTTCGAATAAAAATGCTCATTTAGAATTTATTACCAGAAAATTCTCCCCGTACGTTTTTCACTGAGATAAAGCAAAGCGTTGAATATCGATTCCGATGAAACGAAAAATGGAAATTTATTTATTACAGAGATGAGAGACCAGCCGTGACAACAGTGATATGCCACAAAGGCAACGCAATAGTGCAGATCGCATAATCGCAACGAAATTTTACCATTTACAAAATACTTTTTTCAAAGCATTTCTGCAAAGTTATAGTTATAGTCGGTATTATATTATATTGTTTTTTCTTCCGCGGTCACAAGACAAAAAAAACAATGGAAGTGCCTTATGCCGCGATTACTATCAGAACCGCTGTCGTCAAAACGAACGTTATATCGATCAATTAAGTTTAAAATTAACAAAACACTTTTGAAGCATTTTTTCCCTAAACTTTTTGTTCGCTACTACGGTGGAAAATTCGAGACGTTTACTTAGTTCTCCAAAAGATAAAACTTGACCATATTGCTCTGGGATGACGTTAACTTTCGTTTGTTACAGTACAAAAAATCAAGTCGATAAAAAGAAAATTGAAAATTTATTAAGATAAGACTTACCAATGATATGAAATGCCACGACGGGTAATATTTTTGGTGCGGGCTATCATTTTTGCACTCCAAAACAGCACAATAAGGCATTTTCCTACGATTTTAGAGAATTTGCGCGAAAGAATTGACGCAACCATACCGTACAAAACGGAAATAGCGGACAGCTCAAGTAGGCCTAACTAGGTATTTAGCACGCGTTTGACGCTAACTAACCACTTTTACTGTATTTATTGTTCTGTGAATATTACAGATTAAAATTATCTTACTTAACCGCTGTGAATGGTCAATTGGATTTTTTCTACTAAAGTTCTTTAAGTGTAAAAAGTCAATTTTAAAAACAGTTACGACCATTTTCAAAATATCGCTATTTTTAGACATTTACGACAAAACCTGTCGATAGCATTATCCACGTGAAAGTAAACTACTGTCTACATCTTAAACGTCAAACAACTCTAGCGTGATGCTTCTGATTTATTCTAGCAATATACCACAAAAGAGACCGCGGGGTCGATTCACTACTGTCAATTTTCTTGGGAACTACGCGGTGCATTACGTCTCATGATCTAGTACATGATTTCTTCCTACAGTATTATACAAATGTGTAATTTTGATGTATACGAAATATTACGACAATTTTGAAGTTAAGTACAACTACTCAAAAAATAAGAATTATTCCGCGATTAAAATGTTTCTTTACTAGTGCATCGTTTCCATTGTAAAATTTGGCGCCCGATGCGGGACTGTAACATGCACAGTTGAAATGATATACCAACATTGTATAAATAGAACATCCAATATCTCACAGAGCTGTTACCTGATAAAATATACTATTTTGACGTACACACGTACGTACATACATTATACTTTCAATTTTGAAAGGTACGACTTGCGAAACCGTCATTTCATCGTATTGTGTGTGAGACTTACCACGCACTACTGAAACAATGTATACATAACAAGCAATATATTTGTAAGTATGATGACCTCCTGTACCTAAACATAATAAGATAATAAGTTTGATGTACACATTGCCAGAAGTCCGTTAGTCGAGTGGCAAAACTACGGCACATTTTGATTGATGGTTTGCGTAGTGGGTGTAGGCGTGGCGCGTGCCGGAGCCCCCGCAAGTGCAGGCAGGTGTGCCAACTGCCGGCTGGCTCCCGACCCATTCCGCTACCGACCACCCTGGAAGGCGGACGTCCACGCGCCGGGAATTCTGAATTTAGAATTTTCTCGGTTGATATAAGAATTAGATATTAGTTGAGTCTAGACTTCGGCATACGTTTCCTGTTTTTTGCAAATTTTTGGAGTGGTTTTAATTGTAGTTGAAAATGATACAGCGACAGTTGCATTTTTTTTCTTTGTATGCTGACAATAGGTTTGGTTCGGTTTCTGAGTTCAGTGACTGTATTGCTGAGTTTCTAAGTGCTTGTGCTTGTAGTTTAAAAATGGAATTTGAAGTATTTATAGGTAAGTGAATAAATCGTTAATTTTTAAGTTATTTTTTGAAGTGTATTTTGTATTTATACCGAAATAAGATTTCACAATTCGATTTCAATATGATTTTACAAATCAATTACGGTGTCGACTTTTTGTTCTTTAATATCTTTGCCAGTCTTAAATGTTTTTTTTTGGTAGCTTGAAATATTGTTGACTTACTGCTATGCAACAGCCTCTCTCATGGACTTCCAATTCTCTCTATCTGCATTCTTCTTTCACACTTTTTTAATAATTCAATAATTTAATTTTCATAAATTTATTTATTCGTTTTTATAGAGTTATCTAACTCCATAAAAACGAATTATAAAAAATCTGTAAAAAGTCTAATTTATTGTTACTGTGATTTTTAAATCGTGCTCTTGCAGCCAAATGAAACTGTTGTTAATGGATCATAAAGTATGTCTTTCTATTTAATACAGTAAATACATCGGCAAAAGTTGCAAGTTATGAAAATTGAGGTTTAAATAATCCGGTGTACGATATTTACCATTAATTAATGTACGAAGATAGAAGAACTTTTGACATCCTAAGTAATCAGTTTTTCTAAACTTTTACTTTAACTGAAAGAAATATTTTTGAAAAATTAGTATTCATTCGTGTGTTTGCTTTGTCTCGTCGTAGTTTGCCTTTTGTAGTGGTATCGCTTCGTGGTTAAGTCAACGCAAGAATTGTTTAAAAAATTGTATAGCAATCGAAATATTTATTGCATTGAATATCCTGATGATATCACTATCATGACATTCATATTTTTTTGTGTAAATACTCCACTAATTTGTTATTATTATTGATGCAAACATCGAACAAACAAAGAGAAAATACTCGATTCTACTGGACTCGAACCAATGTTTGTTGCCTCATCGTTGTGGCTTTGTAGAGCAATCGGTTTTTGGTACTGCACGAAAATTGTTCGGTGTTGATTTACTTTTAAATCAATTCCAAGGCACATATAACCCTCAACGTCGGTAATAGCAAAATTTTTAAAATCTAATAATAAGATAATGTCATTGTAATATTAACATACATATTATAATGTATATCTTTCATAGGATAAATGTTCAGATGTCTCGGCCACGTCGAGGAAAGAGTTGCCAGAAAAGAAGTTCAATAATCGATAGTGTGTTCACGTTAGCATTGTCTAGTGTCGGTCTGGTGTCAGTGTCCTGGCTGCGGTGTTTGTGTCTGCGGGCCACGTGCGCGGGTCGATGACGGCGCGCGTGCGCCTAGCGCTTTTGTAACTGTCAACTTCAATTTAAATAGATAGTGATGTTTGGTATGCGTCGAATAATGTCGAGATTTGGAGTAGCGATTGCTTTGTGTATTAAATACCTGCCTAATTCAAATCACACTTTTAAACACGTGTTTATGAAAAGATTCGGAAAACGGCTATTTTAAAATAATTAAGTATCGATAAAATAAATGGTTTGCGATCTCCTCACCTTAGTTTTCTTTAGTTGCAGAACAGAATTTAGTAATTAACCGATTTCAAAAAAAGGGAGGAGGTTCTCAATTCGACTGTTTTTGTTTTTTTTAACATTTGTGAACCGATTTCGATGGATTTTTTTTGTTGGAAAGAGGGTACCTCAGTAGTGGTGCCATTTCAATTTGAAGAAAATTTTCCACCTCTAAGGGTGGCATACTAGGGAATGAATCCGATTTCAAACACTTATGTTAACTGATTTCAGTAATACTTGACAAATTGATTTAATTGGTCGATTTTTTAGTACTTTGTGCTGAATCAATTTTACAAAAAATAATAAGTATTTAAGTGAGTATACACACTTACATTGTTTAAATTCAATATCTCGCTTGTTCTATTACAGAAAACGGGTGCGCGACTGAAGATATTCTCGAATCCAGCGCCGCAGAGCACGGAGCGTATAGTCCAACTGATTGGAAAAACGGATGCCGTCGCCGCCGGCGTAAGAGAGGTCTTGGACCTAGTTAGGCAGGTAAGATAAGTGATGTTTATCTGAGGATTTTTCAAAAACTTTTAGCTTGCTTAGGCATTAAAGACATTACTAAGTACGCATATTTAAAGAAATATTTGTTACGACTTTTATGATAACATAAACCTCCCAATCTTTTCAGGGTGGCATAGTTACCCTGTCTGTCCAAATTAATAATACTCTTAAAAAATTAAATTCCCTTATTCGATTCACATTTTCGTAATACATAAATACATTAAAAACTTTATAATAAATATATAATTTAACTTTGTACTTCCAGGTGCCAATAAAAGGCGCAATCCAGAATTACGATCCGCATAATTACGATGATTTCTATGCGGACGAGTACGGTGGCTTTGGTAGTGGGCCGAGTGGCCCGAGGGGAAGCACACCCCGCAGTGGACCACCAAGAGGAATGCCTCCGCCTATGGGGCCTAGGGGCCGAGGACCCCCACCACCTCGAGGTGGACCCCCAATGGGCAGAAATGGACCTCCCGGACCAAGAGGTTTCAACGACTTTGGCGGTCCAGGTCCTAGAGGGAACTTCAACGGACCGCCTCGCGGAGGGTTCGGGGGAGGAAACTTCGGTGGGGGCAACTTCGGCGGGGGACGATCCGGCGGCGTCGGCAACGGTGGTGGCGGCAATTTCGGCAACGATGGCGGCAGCCAACAAGAGAATTCTACGCAGGTTACCATTCCCAAAGATGTGAGTGACATTCTAGGTACAATTTTAGTTTATATCTCTACAACAATTTTTAAGATTAAAAATGACCACTACAGTACGTGGCCTTAAAAACTTAACAGAAAAGATCCATATCCACTTTCCAAACAGACGTTTCATACAATGCGAATTTTTAGGATACATTTCATTATTCTTTCCATTGTATTTTTTACAATTCACATGTAATATTCTATGTATATCAAACATATGAAACCCAGAAGTAGAAGAAGAGTAGCAATGTATGGAGACATATAAAGCAACAACTTAATTAGCGTGATTTGCTTTGTTTGTAGTTGGCGGGCGCGATAATCGGTAAGGCCGGTTCCCGCATCCGCAAGATTCGCGCAGAGAGTGGCGCAGGGATCGAGATCGCCGAACCTCTGCCCGGCTCCTCCGACCGCATCATCACCATCACCGGTACCCCGCAGCGCATTCAAATGGCCCAGTACCTGTTGCAGCAAAGGTGACATGCTCTTACTTATCTTACTGCATATTAACCCCATAACTTGTGGTATAAGTACGCGGACATCATGTACCACGTACTTCAGTACCACGCCTATACTAAAAGCGCGTTTTGTTTGACATTAATATCGCTAGTACTGCTCAACACAAATCAAGACATCATTACGTATCTATTTTGTTAATTCAAAGCAACATTTCCTACTTACTATGAATATGAGCCCAGTGTTGAACGTCATATGCGTTATCCTTATTCATTCCATGTAAACTTTCAAATTGTTAAATTATGTGAAACGTGTACAGTCCATTATTATTTGCCTTATCTTATCACCACAACTTTGCACAACGAAATAATTTATATAACTTTGGTTGCGGAACCCATTTTTCGTTCTTTATTATAATACAGCTACTATAGACAAAATATAAAGAATTCTGCTAGAGTTATACGAATTCAACCTGCCTCTTTTGGCAAATTGAATTGAATGGAAATTTTGACTGATTACTTGTTACATATAATGATGTCAAACGTATTTCGCCTATACATTTTCGTAACTAATATTGTTACGAACTTTATATTTTGTCTTAGTGATTCTAATCGATGGAAACGCTTCTTTACACTAAATCCTGACATATGCAACTCCATCGCGTTTTGAATAGTATGTTACTTTATAACCTTCAAATCTATATCATGTACATGGCGATTTAAGTTGGATGCTTCCTAGCTTTAATGTAAAATACCATAAGAATTCATTTTAATGACCTTGTCTTTTAACGTCTTAAACTAATTTATGATAAAATTTCATAGTCGTGGTCGAATATTATATTATAAATCCAATCACTTGTCATTGTTATTACATAGAATACAGTAAAGAATACGAAAATGTAATTTCGCTAATACAGGCTGGATGGTTGTTGTTACCAGTTTAAGAACATAAGACTTCTGTTTATTTGATTGTAGAAAGTTACTAACACGATATTATTTCGATAGAATGTTTGAAGAATTTCCTGCATTGGCCAAACAGAACTAAGATTTAGTTAAATACACGTCGTTATCTCCAGGTAAAAGAACTATATTTTTATGTAGACTGGAGTTTTATATGGCCTTCTTAATGTACGATAGATAAACTACATTTCAAACAGTTACTCTAGTTATTTATATATTGGTATAACGTAGTTAATGTACAGGGTGTTAGTAAACTCTTGAGCAGAAATTTAAATGGTCACCGCCATATAAAAAAATGTAATAAAACGGATTATCGAGATACCTTTAAAATTCTGCTGAAGTATCACCCTGTTGTAGTAACTTTTTCATTGTATTTAAATATTATTTTGTGGGTTTATTTGTTGTATATTCTATGGAAATCTCCATATGGAAATATTCAATATTGTGTAAAGTACATCATTACTATAATTACTTAGCTCGATTATTTAGGTCAAAATACCTTAGAATTCTTATCATACATTTACATGCATAATGTACTTACTCTGTACCACATTGATTCCTTCATTCAACAAACACAAAAAAAGTGTGTTCAACCTTTAACATTGATTCTACTACGTATAATTTTTGTATTACGAATACATACGCTTTTCTGTCTTTCAAAGGTGAATTAGATACATGTTTTTAACTTCTCATGAATTTGGAATTAAGCCGCGGATTTAAGTAGATTTCATAGATTTCTATTTTGAATAAAAATTAATATATCTGTGTATGTATTCGTCACATCACTAACCAATTTCATGTGACTAACAATGTTATTTACAACTAACAACTTTCTAGGTGTGCTCGTCGACTAACGGGGAGCCTTGCGTTGTATGGAAGACTAGTGATTTTGTTGTTTGATTTGTATAACAAGGAATCACTAATCTGCCTACAAAGCTATGGCACATTCTTCGATTGAAGATCGTGACTTCTGTTCTACTAACTCCTGTTATTTCTGCGTGTTTTCATAATACTAGTGTCTGTTTTAATTACTGTGTTTTACAGGGAAATTTCATTCTCAATGTTGTAGTATAACATAATGTATAATACTTTGTTTACCCTACCCTGCTTAAGATATCTTAATCGTAATTTATCGAAATTATTTTTAATACATTTATTTACTACTCAAAAACAGAAACGAGTTTTATCGATATTTGTTATATAGAGAGAGTTGTTTACACAATTAGTGAAACCTCACCTTAATTCATGGTACATACATTTTTTTAATTATTAGTATGTATTGTTCATGTACCGAATATTTTATGAAATCTCAAAAATTATTTATTTAATTTGATTCTCACTAAAATTATTCCATGCGTAATGCATTAATAATCTTCAGTATAATGATAATAGATGGAGTTTATAATTGATTTTAATTATTTTTCAGTGTGCACGAAAGTAACCCTAACCTCGGAGGAGGACGCGGGAACTTCTGATTCCAGAATTGTCGGTACGATAGTATAATGAATAGCTTTATTAAATCCACCGTATGTCGTCGGCACTCTTCTGTGAGCCTCGCTATAATGTTTGATCATTCAGAACCCTGTTAGAAATTATGACCTACAGTTACTTAAAAAATAAAAGATATTTAATTATGAAGTTCAAATAAATAAATATATATCATCTTTATATCGATATATAACACAAAAACTAGAAAAATACTATTAAGGTTTCTTTTATTATCCGATCACAAGATATAGATAAGAATGCATTTATCATTACATCGTATTAACTATAGAAGAGAATTTAACTAAGATTGTGTCAATGATTTTAACTGATAATTTGTTACATCGATAGTATATTTAAGTGAATAGAAAATAGTAATGAAATAAAAGTTTATTTTATGAATATTGCGTTTCATTTTTTTACTAAGAATTCTTAAGTAACTTGTATCTATTTTTAATCAAACACCCTTTACATGATAAGGAGGAAAAAATCCCATTGTACTAGAAAATAGGGTACTACAACAGTTTCCGTTCGGCGTGCCTATTGCTGCGTGACCACAATCACTGAGAACTTTAGTTTCGATTAGTCAGGTGTAAATTTCATTTAGATGGTTCGTGGTATTCATAAAAAACAACGTCCATTAGAATCGGGGGAAATGTAGTAAGCTACATTCTGAGGGATTTATGAAACCTAGATTTAGACGTTGCACCGTTTTCAATTATTCCGGCGACACCATTTTTCAGAGTCGAGAACGGCAACTCCTGGCTTAAATCTGATTGCACACAGAAAATCGAATTAGTCCGTGTTCTAGTCGCATAATGACACAATTAGTTGCTCCTTAGGTCAAACGATCGGATATAAAAATAATACAAATTATGAAAAATGTGTACAAGGAAGGTTACCATTCCAATTGTTCCCTGTGACTCAAAGACTTCATATTTGTGGTTGTTTTGTTATTTCCAACATTTTAAATATTGTTTTTACCGTATTTGTCACACCGAACCGTTCAATTAATTTCGTTTCGTCGCTAATTTGCTTATGTTAAATACTACAAATTGTTAAAACATTCAAGTATCACGTTAAAAAAAAATTAACAAAGGCTGGTCAGATGCAAAATAACTGTATTGGGCTGCTAGGCTATTTTTACTAGGTTGAGATAACAAATCTTTTATATCGTCAGAACGAAGGTGCGACTAATTCTAAAACCGAATTCACGACTTTCTGGGATAAATCAGATCTGTGCAAGGAGCTGTGGCTTGCGAGATTGTAAAATGATGCCGCCAGATTTAAGCTAATTATAGCGTGGACTGTAAAATAATGGTCACACTGGAAAAAGGTACGCGGCCTTATTTTACTACCTACTACAGAACCAGATCTTAAGTGTTAGAGGAGCATTTAACCAGCATGGTTGGTCTCTACGTTCTGCTGCCCCCGAGCAAAACCTAGTAAGGGTCAAATTTTTCGAAAAATTTCTAACGGAACCCTACTTCCTGATTAATTAATTAATAACTCACCAAATTGCAGTGACGGCCACTTCAAAATCCTACAATTTACCAGATATTTACAAACATTAATACCTGGTAAGGCACATCTGGTCTGCTTCACGACCAGTCAAAAACCTAGTGAGTCACTTTGACTAATTCAAAATATAGTAAGTATAGGCGACTTGCTAGGTTTTAAAATGGTTAAAACGCCACTGGGTATTAGAATTGGCAAATGGTGTGCAGGAGATGTGACGCCGGGAGGGACCTAAAGCTGCAGGGGTAGCCCGATAGGACGCGACTTGCGCGAGAGCGACATAATATGCGAGAATGTCGCGATGTCGCTCCCGCGGAAGACGCGTATATGTATATATATTGTTTTGTAAAACAGTAGTTTTACAAAACAATATATATACAGAGTGGAAAAAATCAATCAGACATGAAGGGGAACTGCTTTAAATGCATATGATAGTTAATTTGACTTAAATGAAACATTCTTTTATTTTTCTTAATATGAATTATTGTATTCACAAATTAGTTGAAGTTTGCCTGAGAATGTAGTACTAATCCACAGGATCAATGATAAGGATAAAATTTCTCCAATAAACATTGGGTCGTACAATTAAAGATGTCCATGAAAAATTTTTAGTACGTAACAACTGTAATTTTATAAACGTTATTACTTAGCGCGCGTTCCCATTATGTCGTAACATTTTATTTATCGTTGAACGATTGTCGCGTATAGCTTGTTCCCATATCACGAATATATGTCTTGACTGTATCGTGGACATTTATTTTATCGTTGAACAACTGTCGTGTCTAACTGTTCCCACTAGATCGTGACGACAATTTATCGGTTCACGGCAGCCGCCTTGTCATTTGCACGACAGAATCGTTTGAAGCTGCGATAATCTGTCGTCACATTTTTATCGTGACTTTTTATTTATCGTCTGACGGCTGTCGTTCTAGCTCTTCCCATTGTCACGACAGTCTGTCGTCGTAAGGGCGCGTTCCCATTATGTCGTAACGTTTTATTTATCGTTGGACGACTGTCGCGTCTAGCCTGTTCCCACATCACGAATATCTGTCGTGGACATTTTTATCGTGACATTCTATTTATAGTTTCACGATTGTCGCCCTATCTCTTCCATTGTCACGACAGTCTGTCATCGTACGTCAAAAAAGTCAATCGTGTTGTTCTAAGTGTGAACAACTTCATTTCAATATTTGTATATTTAAATGAATTTGTTCGTTGTCACAGTCACAACTTGTGCCTATGTAACTTACGTCCAATATCAGTTGAAGGTTTTTGATATCTCTTATATTTACGGAATAACTGCCTGGGCACACTTAACGATTACACCCTGTATACTTGTAAAGTGCCACAAAGACGTTTAATGGTCATCAGTAGAGTATAAAAGTCTCCAATAAGATATACCTAGCTTTAATATTTGTCACAATGGCAGTTAACATGATAAAAATTAAAATTATTATCTTTAAATGTTATTAATAACTATAAGAAATTGAAAATTATAACCAACCAACAAAGTTTCTTTTTTACATATTCATAGAATACATAATTACATGTTTGCACATGTGGAATTGCTAGCACAGCAAGTACAAGACAGTTAGAATTATTTGTTTTTATATTAATATAATGACAAATAAAACATAAACACTTAGTACATATTTTATTGTAGAAATCACATAACGTACCCTTAATATATGATATACATACAAAATTGATTTACCAAAATACATTATTCAAATACATGAATCAATCTATTAATTTTTATGCACAGATGCCACCTCATGGTGTTCTGGGTTTTCTACAGTAAGTATAATATATACAATGGGTATCACAGCACCCACAATGAGCACAAAACCTAGTAAATGATACCACTTTAGTCCAAAATCTGCACCATGTGATGTTAACTCTTTAACTACCACAGCATCTAATGATTCTCTAAGCTTTTTATTTGGCAAGAGTTGAGTGTCTTCTGTGATTGCCTCAGACTGTTCTATATCTGTGTATGGAATCACAGCTGGAGCCAGCGTGCTGTTTAATACAACAGCATTGCAGTCTATAGCATAGTCGTCACTTGATTCAGTATTATTATTTGGTAAATTATGACTCTCGTTTTTCTCGTTTTGTGTATTGTTCATAAGCTCATGTATAGAAGATTGATTTTGTGGCAATGATGATGTTGTAGGTACAGGCTCTACAGTTTCTGATGGAGGTAATAGTTCAGTGAGTACAGAATAAGGTGTGACTGGAACTTTAATGGTCCGTCTCGCAAAGATTTCATTGTCTTTATGTATGTGATTGATTCTTTTCAATTCTGCTATCTGAAATGAAAACAAAAGTGAATTTATACAAAAAAATTGCATTTTTTACAGTGGCGGTCAGCATAGGAATTACACAGTTTGAACTTTTACACTTTTTTTTAAATGCAAATGATAGTTATTTTTAGTTTCTATTAATAATTTATCCAACCTGAACATCAATCAATCAGCTTTAAAAATATGTTTCAAATGCATGGATCTGAACACAATGCGACAAATTACTTCAATGAGACTAGACGAAAAAAAAAAAATTATCAGTTTTTGTTTTGAAACTCCTCAAGTAGTAAAACATGTTTATACTTAATAATTGTATAAATTTTACTTAGATTATACTTTATACAAGATAAGTATTTGTATTTCATATACATATTTCAGTTACAAGTATTTCAAATACTGCCCAGGCTTATGTACATCTAGGTATTTATTGTTTGAACAAAAAAAAAATGTTATCAAAGGTATAGGTTAGTATAACAGACATCATTCATCAAATTAATGAAACAGAATTACTATTTCCTCCTTCATAAGTATTACCAATGAAAGAACGAATCATTCACACGCACTTATGAAGGTCACATATAAAATTACGTTTCAAATAGTGAAAATTGATTGGGCAAAGCAAGATTAGGTGGGTAAAGCATCTTTTACATAGTTGTTTGACAAGAACATGATGTTTATAATGGTTGGGAAGAAAGGTACTCACAGAACAATAAAATCTTAACGCGATGGCCTGTAAAGTATCACCTTCCTGCACTTGTGCCTCAATGTAATGTTCCTGTGGCTTCATTTTGTGTAGCTGGATCTCGCCGTTTAGATCTCCGTCAGTCTTCTTGCTCATATTATAACTGATCAAGTCATCCCCGCCGTGCATGAGACGCGTCCTACGACACAAATATCTCCGATAGTACCTAACACGTAAACAATGTAGAAACTCTACTACGCGACTTCAACGTTTGCTACACTCACCTTTGTTTCATTTTCTAATACGACACTAATTCTAATGATATCTAGCATGACCTCGCTACAAACTCAAAAACTAGTTATGGTTGTTCTAAATAAGACTAATAATTAATAACGAAAATTACATTACAACAGCTGTTGGTCCAACTTTATTTGACAAAGAATTTTGACATTTCTGATGGCAATATAAAAATATATGTGACGTCACCAAGTGTCAAATCAATGCGCTTTATTGTGCGCAATAAATTTCTACATTATTGTTGCATTAATCCAAATGCTGTACTTATTTTGAGCCCTCCTAATTTTAAACTTGTGGAGGTGGACTGTTGGCCTGCAGCGCAAGAATGGATTGGACATTCCAAGCGTCGCCCTTTGCTGAAGCTGCCTGTGCCTATAGCCTCGCCAAGTCGCCACTTTTTTACTTCAGTTGTGAATTAGTTTTATGGTAGCCCATACCTATACAAAATGATGAAATAAAAGTTCTGAAAGACCAATGTTGATTTTCAGGAATTGTGCAAGTTTTTACAGCCGCCATCTTGTTTTCTTTTATGAGCCCTTTAGGTCCCACGGTCTTAGTCAGCCGTGACTGTAAAGGGCCTGTAACTACTTTAACAATCAATATATATTCCTACTATATCTTTTTAATTTGTGACAACAATCGCGAAATCCTATGAACGTTTCCAGAATAGTTTCAATGCTCAATGCTCAAGTCAGGACTTAAATATGATTTCAAGCACTGGAAATACGAGTCTAATGGCAAGGACTTGAGTACGATTTCTAGTGCTATAAATCATACTCAAGTCCTGAATTGAGCATTGAGTAGAGTCCTGGAATACGACCCTCGGAAATGGAAAATTAAAGCTATGGCAGCCATCTTGTTTGTGTAAATTACTTTGTAGCTTTCGTTACAATAATTTGGCAATGTGTATACATACCTCAGATGGTGCACAGACATCCAAGTGTTTCAGTTTTATGTAAACCGATTAGCGATATTTGATCAGCTTTTTGAATTTTCCACACTCACGTCATCTTGTATTTTATTCCGTACTTTGGTGCCAGTACCTACATATGCAACGGTGCCGGGATGTATAATGATACTTTTAAATAGTTTAAGAGAACTTGTTGCTATAGTTCCCAATTGTTTGAACATCAATGGCACAGGAGTGTCGTGTCTCTTTTACATTGCCATTCCCGTTTGCTGTCAACATAGTCGTAGGTGCGGTTGCTGATGCACTTCAATCTGAATCATTCCTCTTGCGTGCGTAATATTATTGGTGAATTTGTTGGCAACATTATTCAATAAAACCTTATATGTAGTCGAAATATTAACAGAACCACCAACAGTATACGTCATATAAATATTGAATGACATCAAATATCCATATGTTGGCCTATAATCGCTAATGATTGGTCCTATGGTTGTTCAACAGAGCAGTGGCTTGAAGAATACCCTTGAGTCTCCTTTGCGGTACGACTGTAGGTTGGTAGTACTATGTTCTTTACACTGTGGTAGTACCGAATGATCCAATGGAAAGACGATGATCCCAAGCATTGAGACAAGGAAGGCTAAGTAAAAAACAAACATTTTATAATCACGTTGTTTATAGTTTATTAACTTCGAGTATTTTACACAACAGTTACAGAACATAAATACCTTTGGTATTCCGCCGTAGATGTGGTAATAATTGCACGTAATTTTATTCCTCTACCTACATTATGTACAAAAAATACATTAAGTAAAAAAAATGATTCAATACGCTCACTAGGATTTAGGTAACATGAGTTATTATTATTATTATTATACAATAAGTTATGATTGTATGTGGATTATATTTTGTTATATTGAAGTACAGATTCAGCATAAGGCAGTATCAAACAAATACTGATAAATAATTACATTTATAACTTATTTGACTAAACTATTTAGGTAAAATAAATAAATCAACACAAATGACAATTACTATCAAACAAAATATCACAGAAATTATTTACTAAAGTTCAATAAAAATAAATTTATAACACCCAAAAATGCTTATTTTATAAAATACTAATTGTTAAATGTTAAATGCCGTTTTAAATGGCACTGTCAAGTGCTCATAAAATATAATTAAATCACGGTAAGTAAAAAAATAACTATATTATACAATAAGTGCATTAACGTAAGAGGCGCTTAAGTTTTAAAACACATAAATCAGAGGTATGTAAAATCGATTTAGAAAGACATCTATTCCATTATTATTTTATAAATATTGCAGTTGTTTTCCACACAAAGGTTGTTCAATCAAGAGCGCAGTTCCTATACAAGCGGCATATTTCAATCGTGTCAAGCTTGACGTGCTTAGGACCCTGTATAAAAAGGGCAAGATAACATATCTACGTATTTGTTACAAACACAGTACCAAATACAGAATAAATTATCTAATTTTTATTGAGCGGTGGTAAACACGCACTTTGCATAACTAATAATGACTTAAATTCTGTGTATAGCAGGTCATTAACCATCCTACACGTTGGAAAAGGGGTACATTCAATGTCAAAAAACTTATAAGGAACATAACACTATAATTTCTTAAATTACGAATAAATACCAGATTAACTCGAATAAATAATCAATATTTTGTATATTCAAATCTACAGTTTTACATAAATGGACTATTATTAAAGGGACATGTTCCGTAGCAAAATATTTACAGATCAATAAAAAATCTATACAGTACAATTTTGTGCCCAAAAATCTATTCTGTCTCTTTGAAGTGTATTTACTATAGGACTAGGTTTCAATAATAAATGAGGATGACATCGGCCACAGAGCAATATATTGGCCACTCATCGGTAACATACATTACTTATTATATAATACGCCCTACCTATTCTACTGCTTTGTGTTGGGAAAGCCGGTTAGGAAAGCCAGCGCAACCAGAGGCATGGCGTCTTGACAGTAGCAACCTCTCCTCAGTTACTGCTTATCGGAAATTTTTGTCATATTATAACTGATTCAGACGTACTATTTCGAAATGCTTTTCCACCGGCAAGGCGAGACGAGGCGATACGAGACGAGGATTGAAATTTGTATGGCAAAATTTCAATTCTCTCCTAGCGAATCTTCGGTGGAAATGGTCTGGATAACAAGGATAAGCGAGATGAGAATTGATTTCTTGGTGTAATATTGAACCGTATTGCTGCCTAGACAGAGTTTTTAATTCTGCAACGGAAACACGATTCACGCGATGGCCATTCTGCCCTCCTAGTCATAACTAATGCATTTACATTTCGGTAACTTTCGCGATATTGATATCTATAATTTTTTGTTTTACAAGAAAAAATGACAAATATGCCGATTTTGCTTAACAATAACACTGAAACTAAATAAGATATTTAAAAAAACTTCTTATAGGGGGTTGTAGATCTCGATTCGCTAATTCCAGATATGTCAATAACCCAATTTCGTTATTAAGTTACGTTTTTTATGATAAGGAAGTCACTATTAATATCAATCGCAAGATTATAGGATACGTACGTACGATTCAAGATTTTTAAAAAGACGACTTTTTTGCAAATAATTGCGGAGTGCCCTGCAGTCGAATTTTCAAAATTTATCAATCAAATACTTTATTTTATTGGTATTTTAATATTTTCATTTTACTATCCACCACCTCAGCGCGAGCTCCCGACGGCTATTAATGGCATTTTTTTATAATATCAAGTGACGGGAGGAACAAGTCGTGCGCCTGATGGTAAGCTTCAAGCCTCGCTCCTGTCTTCACCTTCACGCCTGTCCATAACAGTTGCAGTGCCACTCAGAGTTTTAAGTCGCAAAGATCTGAGGGGCACTGCCACTGCGCCCGTCACCTTGAGGTATAAGTTGACAAGTTCAATGTGCCTGACATTTAAACAGCACCCTTATCCTTCTAAACCGGAACGCAGTAATGCTGACATCACTGCTTGGCGACACAAATAGTTAAGGGAGTACTTCTCTGGACGAACTCTTTCACAATGATATCTACTGCTCCTTTGGTGAAAATCGGCCGGCGAAATTTCAACTCTCATCTCACCTCGCCGGTGGAAAAGCACCTTTACACAGCTCTCAATACGAATTTTCTCCTTTTGTCGTATATGTCTGTCTGTGTCTAATCGTCTGCCTTTATGAATATAACATTTATAGAAAGAATTTGACAGAAGCTACAGCTCAAAATATCAAGTGCTAAATCGAAAATACATTGCTAAAATAATATGTCAATAACAGTTAGTCAAGAGAAGAACCATATGGCAGCACAACACGAGCGGCACGTGTTAAAAATTTTATCGTGGATAATTTTCAGGTTAGTTTTCTCTGCCAAACGTCTGTGGCAATTTTTATTATTTAAATAGTCTAGAACAGGGTTTCGTAACCTGTGGTTCATGGACCCCTAAGGGGTCCGTGTAATGAAGGCCGGGGATCCATGGCGAGCCTACCTAACATAATGTATTAATATAAAAATTGGTATATAATGTTGACCTTTTTGAATTTATGCGCCCTTTGACATCCATTATTAGAGCGAGGGAGAAGCGCGTCAATACCACACACGAGGCTTTCTGCTCCTTCATCTCTTTGGAAAGGGTCCGTAGGCTCTTTGAAATTTTTAGAGGGGTCCATGACTAAAAAAAAGGCTAAGAAACTCTGGTGCAGAATATTATCATGAAGTATATTGTTAAATAGTCGAGTGTAGTACCTGAAATATAATTTATATTTCAAGATAATATACTTGAATACTTAAATAAAGAATTGCCTCCGAAATTAGGTACAGAAAACCATCCTGAAAATTATCCTGGTACTAAGTAATAGTGTTGCAATTTTGCATGGTAGATGTCGTGCTGCACATGTGATGACGGGTTGCAATTTCAATCCTAAGATTTTATATCGTACAACCGGGACGCCTATAATCAGGTGATAAATTAACAGCAAAATGGTGTAGGTCTTTATTTAACTAGTTAGCTTGATTATGTATTTGTTAATATAGTCATAACGTCAAATTAGTATTTACTTGTCAAATTATAAAATTCTACACGATATCAAAAATACTCACCTAAATCTGGCAAAAATAATTAAAAATCAACAGCACAAATTGTATACAAAAACGAATTCATTTAAATTTTACGATATAAATACATAGTTCGACTAGAAATCTCATGAAAAAATGTTTCACGGTACCCCATTTTTATTTACTTGAGAAATGATAACAAATGTATGCGCATTTTTACATAAGTTCTCTGCCGTGCTATCACAAATAAGGCAACATGATTTTCAAAAACCAAGTATTCACTATCCTGCGCGTTATCCTGCAAACAGGTATACGATAAAACGAGAAGAAAATATATGTACGTACATACGTGCGGAATATTGAATACTTTACGTTTGGCTTTAAAACATCATATAAACTAAAATTTGTAGAGCGTTGCTTAAACATATCACAGGTTGTCTCTACAAAAATGAACGAGTAATTAATTATATATACGACATTTTACCATGTATACCTATACATGTTTTATTCTCTAACTTTTAATGTTATAGAACCATAGAATACATGGTAAATTTTAGTATGACTTCGCATTTAATATCGAATTTACTCGTACATGCCTAATTATAATACTACAAATGTGAAAAAGGTATTTCAATGCATTTTAATATATTTCAATACAATATAATAAAATATTATTATTTAAAAAACTATGTGCAAAGCTGGCATAATACCTTGCGATCGTACCAAGAACTGTCTAACAAACCGCCGCTCAAGAGCGCCATTCAAATAGCCACAGTCGATTAACCCTGTAGAAACTTGTTGCATACAGGCTAGGCGACAGTTGCAACTTGAATAGCTTCTTTTAAATTAGAACAGCAGGTGTTAATACTGACGTCATTGAGACAATGGTATCGAGTGAAATTTTGGTTATCAATTCGTAGCAAAGTTTTTAATTCATAGCGATGAGACCATGTCTACGTCACTAAAACTCTGCGCGTACGGTGCAGACACCTTGGTTTCCATTCTTATAGTCACGTGTCATTTGCCATTCCATACCACACTACGAATGGGCTTTAAGGGGAAATCTAGACACCGATATGAATAACGTCAGACAATGAGATCTTCGATATCTACCTAATATAACTTCATGGCAAGAAATACCGAATTACATATTCGTTTATATCAATTTAAAAAATATTCCTACATATACCAATCCTCACATAAACGTGTCCATGTAAATGCACTATCACTATTGCTTTGGTCGTAGTGTAATGGATCTAGTTTTGCACATTTATCGATAGTTTCATTATCGAAAGTCGATTTTGAAATTCACACTGACACACTATTGGTAAAATATTATCGATATTGTGTCTTGTTTTCGAGGCCAGTGTCGATATTACATCTATAGCATTTACTATTGGTGTGCAATACTAAACGAATCTAACAGAGCGGACGGCTCACGCGTTGTCGAATCCTTGAAAGTCTCCCGGCCAGTTCTCCCTCCGCGCGGCACGGTTGGATCCCGTACAGGCGAAGAACTCATCCCCTTCGAAGGGGTCGGAATCTCTAGTGAAGATGTTTACCGATTCTGATTTCTTGATATCTCTATGTGCTTGTTGTGGCTTCGCTCGGAGGGGAGGGACGTCTTCATCTTCTTCGGCTATGGAAGCTGTGCGACCTATCACGGAAAAGAAATTTGAATGCAATGAATATTTGTTTGCAAATATATCCTACGAGCCCTGTACCCCATCTACGGTGGAGTCGGGCTTGGCCTGCGGCGCGAGGTCGGGTTCAGTTTACGGGGTGTGCTCAAGTTCCTCGATGACACTTCATCATCAGTTAGTACTACGGGCGCTTGATGAGGAGTTCGATTCCCGATTTGGGCCAATTTAAGAAACGAACATTAAATTTCTACGTTGGTTTTGGTCTGAGTATTCTGGGTTATCGTTGTTTCGATATTCATAGTACAGGAAATTCGGCAGCGGTTTGGCATTTTTTCCTCCTATATACCTCTTTTCGGCATAGCTTTCAAGAAAATGGAATCTAACAGAGAGACGATCGAGATACAACAACGCTATATTCTCATTTTCACTACATCGGGAAGTATGCCTTACATTTTTACAATTGTGAGATCTTATACTCGTAATCTATTACGCCTCCGTATATTATCTCCATCGCAATAGCGTGCATACACTTCGGGCTTCGCCCTCCGCAGATCTCGGCCTACGGCCTCGGCACTTATCGCTTTGTTTTAAAATATTGAAATAACTCTTTAATGGCGGCCATATTTAAAAATTGCAAAAATATGTTTTTTACCACTATTTTTTATCAAACAATCTTAAAAATGTTTTCGTGCCAAGCAAAGCAAGTTTTTCAACAGCCATTTACATAAAAAATTACGGTTATTTCGAAAAACGGCGGAAACAAAATTTTTACCCGAAATTATGATTGAAGTCATGCCATTTTCAGTTGAATTAGAAAAAAAATATCCTAAAAAGTTTGTATGGCAGCCATATTGAAAAATGGCGAAAAATAAATTTTGACCGCTAATTATTATTAAACACTCCTAGAGACCTCGCATGTCCATTTTCAATCGAATTAGAGCAAATTTTTATCTGCCACTAAAAAAGTTTGTATGGCAGCCATATTGAAAAAAAAGGCAAAAAATGAATTTGGACCGCAAATTATAATCAAATATTTATAGAGACCCCCCACATACCGATTTTCAGTTGAATTAGAGCTAATTTTTATAAACGCTTGTTTGGTGGCCATATTCAAAAATGGCGAAAAACTAATTTTGATTACAAATTATTATAAAGCACTCCTAGAGACCCTATGCCAATTTTTGCAAGCCGTTGGTCACTCTTTCACATTTTCCATGTTCAGGTCCTCTCATATTTCATTCTTTGTTTTGCAGCCTATCCGCGTACAATGGTATAAATATATTTTTCTATCATATCGGGAAGTATGCGTTCTATTTCTATCAGTGAGTAAGAACTTGTAGCTTTATACATATACGGGTTATAACTTGAGTAGGTGGTCTTTGATGCTCGGATCATTAAAAGCGTAGACGTTAAGCTTCATCATAGTATATAAAATTAACCGACTAGGAGGAGGTTCTCAATTCGACTGTATTTTTTTTCATTAACAGATGATTCTTTTTTTGTTGGAAAGAGGGTACCTCAGTAATGGTCCCATTTAATTTTGAAGAAAATATTCCACCTCTAAGGGTGACTGTTCACGCATGAAGACTTATTTTTATACGTAGCACCTACATTTTGTAAGTAGCAATTATTTTAATGGTTTATAATAATAATAATAATAATAACAACGCTCACACTCAACATAGCCCCGCACTAGGGAAACCCTGGGTCGCGGGTGCCATGGACATACACATAGAAAACCACAAATTACACCCAAACTCACTAGAGAAATAAATGTAGGCCATACAAATATTTCTCCCGGCCCGGGAATCGAACCTGGGATCTCTGCGTGTCAGGCCGGTATGGTAACCGTTCGGCCACAGAGACAGCTATATTGCTATGCTCCAATTGAAGGCGTTTTTCTCTCAATATACTTTGCAGTAGCAGTGGGCACCGATTTTTATTATCTCCTGTGTTAAGTTCCGTACATGGTCCTAGACCGACACCGGATTTAATCTACCTGGATTCAAGGATATATAAGCTTCACATCAAGATAATAAATTATATAAATTGTGTATTTAAGTCAGAACCATACGTTAAAGATCAAATTGGCTTAAAAACTTTCTTAAAATGTCATTCACTAATGAGAAGACCAGGGGGAGTCATACCAAATAAATTTTACGACTCACAGGTTAAAGTTAAAGTCAAAAAAGGTCGATGTAATCGGCTTGGTGGGTCAGGTATATGACTGTACATAGCCCTTTTTATATGTTTCACGACAGGCTATCCATATTGAAAGGTTGGTGACTTGACAAGCAATAATTATTTATCCTTTCCAGTTCAACATAGAGGCTATCAGCGCGAAAGTGGTGTAACCAGCATTAAATTTTATTTACGTAATATTACTTTAAATGCTACTAATGTACGTACATAATTATTTTATAATTGGATGCTATTTTCATGTACATTTAATCTTTGTGTGGGTTACACCACTTTTGCGTTGATAGCCATGAATTTATTGCACTTCTTATGAGTCGATAAGGTTGGGTACTCATACATAAGTAATCACATATAAGTAATCATAATGATGAACACCATGAACAAAAAAAAAATGTTTTTCGACTCGTAACTTGTGAATTTCCTAATTTATTTCCGATATCTCCCAACGTAATCTAAATAGACGAAACTCGAGGTATTAAGTGATGAAATAGGTAAATAATAAAATACATATTATTATTGAATAAAAACTGACCTCTAGGTGTAGACATTGCGGTAAAATCGTCTTCGAACATGGACCGCGGCGAGATCGAATCGGAGTCGAATCGGAATCGCGTCGTCGACGAGTCATTGTCGCGTCGCGCGCTGCTTCCTGATAGTGGTGACGCTGCCGCTTCGTCTGGCTCAAATGAGAACCTAAAGCAATTCAAAGATAAATAATTATAGTGTGTCTTTTTTGAAGACGTAGTAGACGTAGTAGAATGCCTTTTTTTTAAAGAAAAACTAAGTGCGCCTTTGACTTCTATCTCACCTGATGGAAAGTGACGATGAAATAGACGATGGAGCATGCACACCTAAATAATGCCTATTCACCTCGCCTTGAAAAGGTCCAAGTTATAACGTTCAGGGAACAAGTCTGCAGGCAGGGAATTCCACTCTATAGACTTTGCAGGGTTGCCAGTTTTCATAAAATTTTTAAATAGTTATGTTGTTGTCGTCGATAGTTTTATCGATAGATTGTGAAAGATTATAAAATTTTGCCAAAAATGGCTGACTTGTGAATGTTACGACTAGTGGTCGAAAAGGCTCGAGCCTTTTAGCCCTTTTTTAAGACTCGCCGCTTTATAGCGATGGCTAGAAGGCTAAAAAGCTAAATAACTCTCAAGCCCTCGAGGCTAATTGTATTTATGGCTTTTGCTAGCCGTCAAAAAGGCTCAAGCCTTGTAGCCCTAAATTTAAAGCTTGCGAGTCTTTTTTAAGGGCGGACTCACAAAACAGTAGTTCTAAAATGGCTCACTAAAAAAGGGCTTGAGGCTTTTTTTAGGCCTAGGCTTTTTTAAAGCCTTTTTAGAATAGTGGCGTCGTGGCGTAGTGGTTAGTAATCCTGACTGCTAATCCAGAGGTCGTGGGTTCGATTCCCACCGAGGACAAGTGTTTGTGTAATGAACATGATAATTTGTTATGTGTCTATAAATGTATATGTTTGTTTATCGGTTGTCTAGTATCCATAACACAAGCTTTAGTTTGCTTACTTTGGGACTAGATAGCGTTGTGTGAATATGTAGTGACATATTTATTATTATCCATTTATTATTATTAATATTGTAGCCATCACTATAAAGCGGTGAGTCTTAAAAAAAGGCTAAAAAGCTCGAGCCTTTTTGACCGCTAACGCCAGTCTTCTAAAAAGGCTTTAAAAAAAGCCTCGGCCTAAAAAAGCCTCAAACCCTTTTATAGTGAGCAATTTTAGAACTACTGATTTGTGAGTCCGCCTTTCAAAATGGCTCGCAAGCTTTAAATTTAGTTCTAAAAGGCTCGAGCCTTTTCGAACTCTTTTGTGAGTCCGCCTTTAAAAAAGACTCGCAAGCTTTAAATTTAGGGCTAAAAGGCTCGAGCCTTTTCGACCACTAGTTACGACGTTATAATGATTACTAATTGTGATATCGCCTTCTTAATTATTATTTTGTTAGATGATCTGCTAGTATTGAGATAAAATTTTATTCATATACATTTTAACAAGAATAGCCGGATTTGATTATCTATATTCAATTAAAATAAAAACGAATATACGTCTCCCCTTTGTATTTTTCATAAACATAGTTCTAAAGACAGTGTATGTATGTATGAACTTACAAAAATTGACAATTTAAATGGACTTATGCTCAGTAATTGGATGAATAATGGGTCGAGGATGGTTCAAATGAAAGAAGTTCGGCTATTCATTCCATAAGCGTGACTAATATTCAGTCGATAGTCGGTAGATTATTTATCGACTGCAATCACTAGCTGCTCGCACGCGGGCAACACTTTTGCGCAATGAAATGTCATTTTACTCCGTCTTAAAAAAAGGCAGACTACATAGTCCTCAAATAGCTGAATTTTGAAAGAAGGAATATTAATAGACAGAATCAAATCATAATGGCCTTAGTGTTTCAGAGTGATTTTCTCGAATGTGTATTGTATGTAATTATTAGGACTGAGATAAAAAATATGAAAACGGTACGTTAAAAATAACTCTGTATATAAATTTTATTTTTCATTCTCACTTACCTAGTTCCCTCCAAGCTAGAATACGGCGCTCGTTTCTTCGTTACGGGCGTCGGTGTATCTTGGAAATCATTATCAAATGGTGACGGATGATCCCTATTATCCCTTGGGGAAAAATCATTTGAAAATCTATAATCTCTTGATCGTTGTCTTGGTTCTTCTCTTCTAGATCGACGGCGCGGTTCACGTAGGTCACGTGGGTCACGCGGATCACGTGGATCACGTGGATCACGAGGTTCGCGCGGTTCACGTGGATCACGGTCACGATCGCGGTCGACGTCGCGGCGACTGCTTGAACGGCGTGCAGGCCAGCCGAGTGTTGAACCATACCTGTGCAATAAATTTACTACGTATACAGGGTGGAAATTTGCGACAGGTCAGCAAGGACAGCCACCTTAACCGTCATAGCTACAGGAAAATGCTCGTAGAAGACTGTCCATGAATTTTGAAGATATTAGATTGGTATTCAGAGTTTTTAAAAAATTGTACAGTTAGCAAGACAAAAGGAAATTTACACGAAACTTTTTTTAATGTCTTTCGATCCTATTTCTGGTAATGATCAAAAGTCTCTATGGGATCAACTGCGGTAAGAGTACAGAGTCAAGAGCACGTCAAGCTTTACACTTAAGACTTAAATCCAACTCAATGCCGCTTACGATAAGAACGGTCCAAAGTACAAAGTGTCAAGTTTGATGTGTTCTTAACTGTACCAGAAATGATAGAAATCCCGAAAAAAAGAAAACCAAACCAGCTACCTTTGTTACCCGTTTCCCACCCTGTATAGTTTTGTGTGTTAAGGATTAATTTTCTTATAAACTATTAAAAAAAAATAGTAGGTACCTTCTTTCGGGATCTTCAGTTTGTCTAATTTCATTCCTACGCCTGGATTCTCGCCACCCTAGAGAACCGTAATTTCTTTCTGAAAATAAATACGCACACCTTTTTCTATAATGTCCCAACCCTAAAATAGGATTTGCCCGATAATTTTGAGGCTGAGATTTATAAAACGAACTTTGAAATTGACTAAGCAAAAATGGCGGTAAGCTAGTTTTTCGTAAGAAGTTGTAATGTATGAGGGTAGGATACAACTTTACTTTGACGTTGCAAAACGAGATTGCTTTGCTCTTCGAATACAACGGTTCTTGAGTTACTCTACGGTTCTTACGTCCGTAACGTACGAGTATATCTTTATTTTCCTGCATATCCCTAGTATTGGTGCCTGGCTAGGCTAAAATACTTATCACAAATTATATTAAATTTTGGCGTTTACATCGTAGTTTCTAACTCAAACTTAGACAAAGTTCGTTTTGTAAATACGAAGAACTCGCTTAGCTCGCTTTGCCTAATCGAAGCCTAAGTTCGTTTTATAAATCTCAGCATAAAACTGATTAGGAGAAACAATGATTCTTATTGTCGTTACTATTTGAGTGGGTTAAACAATGTGAAAATGAGTTTACCATCTCTTCTCCACCGCTGGTCAGACCATCGGTCGCGCGGTGACGACCTCCCTGACCCACAACCGTCGCTGTAGCTGTAACGAAGATCACTGACATGAACCACTATTTGAGTCAAATGAATCACAGTGGATTACGTATAGTTAAACAAGCATATTTTTTATTGAGTATTTATTTCTTAAATAACCATTTTAATATCAAGCGACGGGACGAGCTTGCGCCTGATGGTAAGCGACACGCCTGTCCATGCAGTGCCACTCAGAGCTTTAAATCGCAAAGATCTTAAGGGCACTGCTACTGAGCCCGTCACCCTGAAACATAAGTTGACAAGTCCCACCCTTATTCAAAACCGGAACGCAGTAATGCTAACATTACTGCTTGGCGGCAGAAATAGGCAAGGTCGCAGTACTTCCCTGGACGAACTCTTTTACAACGAGCTTTATTGTTACTAAAATTTCAATTTAGTAGCAGTGGAGTTCCTTGTATTTACTTAATATACGTGGGTTCAAGTCCCACCGGGTCGACGAAATTTTTCTGTGTGTTTGGTCTTTGTGTTCATAATCATAACAAAACCAGTGGAGTAATTTCACAAAAAAATCTCAATAAAATGTAGTGTCATATTATATCGTACTCACTCTTCCTCCTCATCATACGAAAGTCTTGGCTTCCTTTGTCTATCGCGTTCCTTATCTCTATAATCCTTCTGTCTCTCTCTGCTCCTCGAGTCTCTATAATCTCTCTCTCTGCTATAGTTCCTATCTCTGTCCCAAGTGTCATTTTCCCTGTCTCTACTTCGTCTGTTATCTCTCCTGTTGCGGTCGCGACTGCTGCCGGAATCGCGTCTGTCGAGTGGTTCGCGAGTATCTCTATCTCTGTCTCGACTGTCACGTTTGTCACGCTTTTTGTCCTTTTCTCTCCCACTGCCTGAGTCTAGACATTCTCTTGAGCCTGATGAGTTGTGTCTACTGACAAATATAATTAATACGTTAATAATCTGGCTACATTACTTAAACAAATGATGAGATTTATAAATCCAGTGTGGTCCAAGGTGGTAATAACGTATATTTATTTTTAATGTACTTTATGGGGATGACCCTGAATTGGAAACCAGGCCTAAAGTAAAGTAAATAAACATTTATGTTTTTATTTTTCATTACGACAATCGTACAAACAACGTGTTTAAAAAATTAACGATCATAATTGAAAATGGTTGCAAAATAATTAAACTTTTCATTACCCGTCTAAAAAAGAGATTAACAATGCATTTTATAAATAAGCCGACATATTTCTAAGTTCCTTTTATCCAGTTATTGGATATATTAATTGATTTGATTTATTGATTGATTGAGTATTTCTAAATACTTTTATTAACTAATTTGACGCTATCAGCGTAAAAGTGGTATAATCCACATAAAATTTTTTTTCTACAATTTTACCACGAAACTAAAGTAGATAATAATTTTATATTTGCAATAGCATGCAAATATAAAATTATTTATGTATAAAAAATATTTCATTAGTTCAATCCATGAAAATAACATTCAAATATAAAATCGACACTGGAAAGGTAAAACGTCTAACGTGCATTTGAAAATTATTACCGAAGAGCTATTTATAGTAATTTTTTTTTAAGAAAAAAACCATATCTCTAATTTTACTCTAGTTAATTAAACTCTAGTAGTTATATATTATAAGGTATATGATGATGAAACTTTCCAGTTTTGCATATACTTTTTTTTACATTATAATGTATAATAAGTTATATAATAACGCACACACTCAACATAGCCCCGCACTAGGGAAACCCTGTGTCGTGGGTGCCATGGACATACACATAGACAGCCACAAATTACACCTCACGAGAGAAATAAATGTAAGCCATACAAATATTTCTCCCGACCCGGGACCTCTGCGTAGTAGACTAGCATGCTAACCGTTCGGCTACGGAGGCAGTTAGTGTATTGTGCGCAGCAACCGCTATTGATGTGAAAATAGAATATTTGCTTCTAGTTGCCGTTCGCTTGTATCCAACACAACACCTAACTGAGAAATAAACAAACTTCAGCGGCGTTATACATTTGTATATAAAAAAATGAGCACCTACCTATCATTGACTTTAACCATCACTATTTCTGGTATTCGAGATCCAACTACAGCATGTATGAGTTCCGAGATACATTAGAATAATCTCAGTATTAAAAATCAAAAGTTCGTGAAATTACACCTATTTGCCAATTTTCATTGAAATCAGTTACCGGAAAGTGCGTGAAATCGGATTCATTCCCTAGTTTGCTAGTTTTCTTCCAATTTAAAGGGGCCACTACTGAGGTACCCTCATTCCAACAAAAAAAGAATCATCAAAATCGGTTCACAAATTACGGAATTATCGCGTAACATACATACAAAAAAAAAAAAGAAAAAATACAATGGAATTGAGAACCTCCTCTTTTTTTGAAGTCGGATAAAACATAACTATCAATGTCACTCTAGTGACTGTATTTAGGCTGTTTACCTGGATTCCCTATCTCGGTGTGAAGGCGGTCGTTGTAATCTTGTAACAGGCGGAGGTTCCTCGTCCCAGGGCGATACGTCACGCGACGACGATGACGTTTGTACTGTTGAACAACAAGCTATTGTTTATATTGTAAATAATATAACAGCCCTTTCAAGTAAATATTAATAAAAAAGAGTCATTTAAACTGAAATATATAGTGCCTAAAAAACTTTTAAATTTTGTGGAAGCACAGAAGTGTCACCATTTGTCGTCATTAAAATTGAAGGATCGAAAATTGATGTGATATTTAAGAATGAGATAATCATTATCAGAACTACGTTGTTTGTTATTGGGGCTCTACTCTCGAAACATGAAATCCGTATGGATGACCTACAGTTGAGTTTCGATCGATTCAAACTAAGGATGTATGACGATCAGAGATGAGCAAGAGTCTTGGTTTTTACGCCGGATTTAAATCGGGTTAAAATCCTGTTGTATATGCGAGCAAGGGAGGCAAATGAAACGACTGGCAGTTCGATTCGCACTGTTTATTATCTGACGATAGGTCGTGGACGCAGCTACGCACACACATACAACGTACCTATCTAAGAAACCCATTATCGCCCGACATCGAGGACAAAACTATTATATTTGTTCTAAATCGAGTTTCGTTAAAATTTAATGATAATATTACAAAATGTTTATTGTTTTCTTATCTAGACGATTATATTTCCCCTTCTATTCGCATGAAAATCGTATTGAAATAAATCGATACAAAAAATCGTTAGATCGTATACACTTGAATTGATCTTCATAAAAATTGAATTGTGCATCTTTAGTAGTGAGAATCTACAGGATTGCAATGTATTGTGTGGAGTTGCCTCTTTTTCGTTAAAAAAGATTTTTTAGATTGAAATTTGTAATAAATATGGAATTATGCCAAATTCTGTATTCGCCGTTTCTGACCATAATTTTGGGCAGAAATGGGTTAAAACCGGGCGCTTCGGGTAGAAACCCCAGCGGGTGGATGTGAGACGCATTGCGCGTCTCTGTTGACAACGGGATTTGACGTTTCGAACGGGCCCGTCTTTTCATTGATGGACTTCGAGAGTAGTCCCGTAGGTCACCCATAGTGGGATAACGGCTATAACTACGGATTTCGTGCTTCGAGAGGTAGGTATCCCTTTAGCCAGTGGATGACACCTAAAATTATGCCATGTGATTTGGCTGGGAATTAGACAGTTTACGAAGTCTAGTGAGCGCCATTTGTTGAGCACGGCGAGAACAACCATAAAGAGTGGAGTGATGTATTCATTAAGTTAGTAGTGTTAGTTTATAAGAGTTATACCATGCCATGGCCATGTATGTGAAGATACATAATGCATTACCCTCCGATATAAAATGATAAAAAATAATCTTCTGTTTAAATGTAAGCGGTTCTTAACAATACTGTACGTGACCTTACAATGCGGTTACAGATTATAGAACAGAATTGTCGATCCTGCAATATTGAAATTCAATGTGTTCCTAAACATAGGAATGAAAATTTACATACAATAATTACTCATTTGTCCAAAGCAGTCGGCTTTGAAATAAAACCAGAAGAGATCCATCATTGCACTAGAGTAGCAAAAGTCAATAAACAAGACGGCAGGTCACGTGCAATCATAGTAAAATTGGCTACCCCTCGAATACAGGACACATTGTTAGCCAATATTATCAAGTACAATGATGCTAATGCCAACAACAAGATCAATACCAACCACATTGGCATGAGAGGTAGGAAATATCCCATTTACGTGATGGAACATCAACTAACAGAACATTGTACGCTGCGGCTCGGTTAAAAGCTAAAGAGAAGGGGTACAAGTTTGTATGGACAAAGCAGGGTCGAATATTCGTACGTAAAACGGAGACTTCGGAATTTATATCTATAATATCAACGACATCGGTATATTACAAAAACTTTCATGATTAAAAGGTTTAATGTGGTGCTTGTATTGTTGCAATCATTTGGTGTATTTGTCTGATACTCATTTTTATAAAATTTGTCAGTCTAAATGTTTATTATCAAAATGTTAGGGGTCTCCGGACCAAAACCCATACTTTCTATTGTAGCGTTGCTCGCGCCCATAGAAGAGACCGAGAAAGTACGGGATTCCACAGGCACAAAGACGGAGGTGGTGTGCTGTTTGCTGTCTCGAATAGATTGCGTTCTAGCCGCTTGCTCGATAAGGAAAGCGAATGTGAGGATATGTGGGTCAAGGTGGATCTGACGAATAACGGTTCTATATTTTTCTGTGCAGTCTATCTTCCTCCTCCCGTAAAGCGTAATGTTGGAACACTTCCTGGACAATTTCAACTCTGTTTCTGAAGATATGAGCAACATCTGTCTTATAGGAGACTTTAATTTGAGCTTTTTAAATTGGCCAACTCCAACAACTAATCAGATTTCTGTAAGCAGTGGTTCATTGCTGGGTCAGCTGCTAATGGATTTCGTATCCTCCTGTAACTTTACCCAATACAACTATGCATGTAACAATAAGATTAAGGTTTTAGACTTAGTACTGAGCAATATTGCGAACGTTGTTGTAAAAGTTGCTTCAGATCCTTTTGTTGATATTGATCCCCTACATGAACCGTAGGACATATCTATTAAGTTTAAAATTGGAATAAACTAAATTCTAATAAACGTGAAACCAAACTTAATTATTTCAAAGCCGATTACGATAGTGTATCCCCACTGTGTAAGGTGGACTGGTCTCAGGAGTTGGGTGAATGCGACAATGTGAATCAAATGATTAACAAATTTTATTCAATCTTAAACGACATTATTATGAAGTATGTACCAAAAACAAAGATATTCAATAACAATTCACCTCATTGGTTTAGCCAAGATTTAATTAAGTTGAACAAAGAAAAGATTAAAATTTTACGTAGATGTAGAATATATAAAAACCCATTAGATGAAATCTCATTAAACACTCTAAGTAAACGGTGCAAATCATTAGCTTTAATTTGTTACAAAAAGTACATAGACAAAATTGAGAATAGTATTAAACGCTGCCCTAAATATTTTTGGTCGTACCTGAAAGATAAACGTGATGTACCAAATCAGTTTCCGGAGAAAATGACTTATAACGACGTAACGGCTACGGATGGAACTATTATATGCAATCTTTTCGCATCGTACTTCGCTTCCTCTAATCACCGCTTTAAACTAAGCGCCTACCACATGGAAACAAACACAAATAACATTAACAGGATTAATATCACCGTGATAGAAGTTATTAAACATCTAAAAATACTAGACCCTAACAAAGGAGCTGGGCCGGACAACATTCCTTCTTACTTTGCAGTTAAGTGTGCAACCGCTTTAGGTCAACCCCTATGCCTGATTTACAACAATTCCTTAAGCTCAGGTGTCTTTCCCACTGAATGGAAGGTTGCAAGGGCAGTCCCAATCCACAAAAATGGTAATCCGGAACTTGTGTCAAATTACAGACCTATTACAATATTGTGTAAGTTTGCCAAAGTATTCGAAAAATTGCTTTGTCCTTATCTAAATCAGCATCTCAAGCAGTCTCTAAGTGACCACCAACACGGATTCGTGAAGTCAAGGTCATCCAACACCAATCTTGTTGCTTATAATGACTATCTCGTAAATGTTGTGGATGCTGGCCACCTAGTGGATGCTATTTATATGGACTTCTCTAAAGCTTTTGATAGGGTACCTCATGACATTCTGATTGGCAAGCTGAGTCAATATGGTGTTTGTGTTGAGTTGCTGGATTAGTTTACATCATACCTTTGCAATCGTCAACAACACGTGGCTTTAAAAGGCTACAAATCAAAGGCTTTTGATGCTGGTTCGGGAGTTCCTCAGGGATTACATACAGTGGTGGACACATAATTAAAGACACTTAGAGAATATTATTTTTTCAAAGTTTACTTATCCTATATTTTTTTATTATAATGCAATAGGAGCTTGCAATATTATTTAAATTATTCTAACGGGTCTCGTGAAATGTTTGAAATGAAATAAAGAGAACGAAGATGTCGCATTTTAAATTTTTATTAAGTTTCTTTAATTACACCGTTATAAACTAATACAAAAGCTTGGCCAACTAATTAAAGACACACAAATCATGTAACTGCAAAAAAAATATTACAAATGTTAAAACGAATTTGAGTATAAAATTAGTTTCAGATGTATAATAAGAAAATAAAAGCACGTTGTTAATATTTTGTCGCATGTCCTTTAGCAGCAATGACGGCCCGACACCGCCTCGGCATAGAAGCAATCAAATTATTGCAAGTTTCAATCGAAATCTGTTCCCATGCCTCTTTAAATGCCGTGTATAGTTGATGCACGTTACTTGTACGTTTTTTTGCAACCATTTTCTTCACACGGGACCACAAGTTTTCGATCGGGTTAATGTCAGGACTATACGGTGGCCAATCCAAAACTGTTACTGATTGGCTTCTAAGAAATTCTTTGACCACTGCTGAAGTGTGTTTGGGATCATTATCATGTTGAAAAGTCCATATCACCGGCAAATGATCCTCGGCATAAGGTAACATGGTGTTTTCTAAAATATTTTTATATTTAAATTTATCCATGTTACCTTCTATTTTTTTAATAGGTCCCACACCGTGACCAGAAAAACATCCCCAATCTTTGATATTACCCCCTCCATGTTTAACAGTTTTTTTTTGTGTATTTTGGATCCATTTCTTTTTTTGAAGGACGCCTCACGTAAACTTTTCCATCAGAGTTAACCATATTTATTTTAGTTTCGTCAGAAAAAAGCACATTTTTCCACTGTCGCTCTGTCCAATGTGCATATTTTTTGGCAAACAGCAATCTGGTTTTGATGTTTTCTTTCTTCAAAAGGGGTACCTTCCGAGAAATTCTTCCAAACAAGTTTGCCTCACATAATCGCCTTCTCACCGTTCTTGCAGACACTCCTCTAGATTCCTCTGCACCAAATACTTCCAAGCGAATGACTTCTGATCCTTTGAAAGGGTCTTTTTTAGCAAACAATTCTATTCTTGTGTCTTCTCGCTGGGTTGTTTTTCGCGGTCTAGGTTTCCTAGGCACATTTTCCGTAGTGTTAAATTTCTTAAAATGCCGGATAGCGTTCATTACCATATCTTTCGAGCATCGCAAGTGTTCTGCAATTTTCCTATATGACCACCCTTTTTCATAAAAAATCAGAATTATCTTCCTTGTGGAAGGATCGCAACTTTTGCTTTTTCCCATAATATTTCAATTTAAATTTCACAATAAACTTAGAGCACGGCTAAAACTGAGTGAGATTTTGCGTATCACGAAAATTCGCTCAATATTAGAAAAAATCAGTGCTCTTTTTTATTTTTTATTTCAAGTTTAGAACACGAAATACGCACTGTCTTTAATTAGATGGCCAGCAGCTAATGTATCGAAAAAGTTTGAATGATATTTGAAACAGGAACTATGTAAACTCTTTTTAGTTAAACTTTGATACTGTTCTCATTTAAAAAAATATATTATGTCAGTGTATGTAAAATGACTATTAAAATGGAATTGATACCTATCTTGGGTCTCTAAATATCATTTAATTTGTTGTATGTGGTCAACATCAAGGGTGTCTTTAATTATGTGACCACCACTGTATCGGTCCGTGGCTTTTCAATTTGTTCATAAACGACATACTCTCTGTTGTTAACAATAGCCAAGTATTTCTTTTTGCAGACGACCTTAAACTATGTAAAATAGTTAAAACTTTGGAGGATAGTTTGTTACTGCAGAATGATTTGGACAACATCCTTGATTGGTGTCAATGTAACGATATGTCACTTAATAGTAGGAAATGTTTTCATATCAAATTCACTCGTAAACATGACGTAATTGCCACGGTTTACAATATCGGTGGTGAAGTTCTGGAGGAATGCAATAAATTACGCGACTTGGGCGTTACTTTTGATAGTAAGCTTACATTACTACCACATCTCGATAAAATAATAGCCAAATCTTCCAAACTGCTTGGTTTCATCATGAGAAATGGTAAAGTTTTTAAAAATCCCAGTACGAAAATAACTATTTACAACGCAAATGAAAGAAGTACTCTAGAATATTGCACTATTGTGTGGTTGTCACACTATGCAGTGCACCAGTTACGAAATGAACGTATATAGAAGAGATTCTTGTGGCATCTTACAAACACATGTAGAAAGCTTAATGAACTCCCAACCTATTTGGATAAACTAGGGCATTTCAAAATGGAGAGTTTAACTGACCGCAGACGTATTTTAGACCTGGTTTTCACGTATACAACCCTGAGAAACGAAATAGATTGCCCTCCTCTTTTACAATTATTTAAAATCCGCGTCTCAAACCGGGTGCCCCGTCACCCGGTCGCACTACTCCATCCGCCCCCTTCTAGGACCAACCTTAAGTATCACTCCGCTATCGCTAGATTGTCAAGAAGCTTTAACGCGCTTGATCAAACAATAGATGTGTTCAACGATTCGCTCCATGTTTTTAAATCTAAAATACGAATGAATCCATCTGGGCGTAACTCATAATGTTTATTTTATTCTATATATCTATATATATCTTTACTTAATATTAATTAGAATATATATATTTTTGTTTATATTCCATTTATACCCCCTGTCATTGCTTAAATTTTCTTTTTGTTTTCTTTGCATGTTGTGGCACCCACAGGTAGTGCAATTAGAATTAAATGTATTTTTAAGTCTTCATTATTCCTTAGATTTATTGTATCTACCACTGGCTGTCCTTAAATAAATAAATAAATAAGCCGATGTCATGACTAAGAGAAAAAAATGACTTCTTTACATAATATGACTCTTAATAAATTTAATCACTTATTGCATAAAAAAAATCAAATCATCATTGGTTATATTTTTACCAACTTGATGACATGACAATAACTTATAATTATAATATGTTAACGTTAATACTTAATAGGAATTGCTTTAAATTTTTTAGATGCCAAAATGTAGATATCCATGCCAATATCGGTAAAATATGAGTACTTTTTATTATGAATATTTGTACCATCTTTAGTAAATAATGTTTTAAGCAAATAAATATCATTAATTAACTCATTCTTAGCTGTATTTTTGTCTGTCCCCCTGACTAATGTGTGCAAGTGAAAGTGGAAGCGATTCTCGCTTCTATTATGCAGCGATGTCGTTGCTGTGTCGGTTCATGTGTATGATTATTGTGAACCATTATTAATTGTCCTATACTCACCCATAGCGCCTCTAGTGTCTGGAGGACTGTGGTGCGGCGGACCACGGCGTCGCCTTGGGCGAGGCTCCGACTCCCGCGAGTCCGACGACCACGGCGAAGCCCCTGCTCCTCCTAACACTGCCCAACGACCTGCCCGGCTTGCACCGCGATTACCCACGCACTTTTCTGCAATTGAAATTTTTTTATGGTAAAGTTATAATTCAACACGTTGTATCGGTTTGATTTTGTATTGGACTATGTGAAGAAACTTTCATAAGTTTCTCACAAGTGGCAAAAAGACGTATTAAGTACTTACATAATATTAAATCTATGGTTTAAACCTAATGCAAAGGTCAGCACACAAGGACAGCAGGCACATAGCAAAGCAACAGACACATAGCGAAACTCGAAAGATTTACTAACTCGACCTGTAGCTCACGACCTGTAGATTAGAGTGGTAGCCACGGTGAGGCAACAGACGTTGTTTTTTTTTTAATAATACCAAGTGACTTGACGAATCAAGTCATACAACACGTGGTAAGCGACACGCCTATCCATGACAGTTGCAGTGCCACTCAGAGGTTTAAATCACAAAGATCTTAGGGGCACTGCCACTGCGCCCGTCACCCTGAGACATAATTTGACAAGTCCCATGTGCCTGAAATTTCACCAGCACCCTTACTCTTCCAAACTGGAACGCAGTAATGTTCACAATACTGCTTGGCAGCAGAAATAGGTAGTACTTCCGTGGACGAACTCTTTCACAAGGAGCTCTACTGCTACAGACTCCAAGGAGTTTTTCTTTGTGTTTAAATACTTTGTCAAGACTCGTTATAGGCGTGTATGTGCTATACTATTAGTTAGAAGAATAAGAAGTATTTTGGACAAAAGAAGTTAAAATATCTTTATATTATGGCTTGCCATGGCTTTTTTTATGAGAAAAGCCATGGTTAAAATAAGCCATTGTATGAAGAGAAATAAGAATACAATACCTAAGTTAAGGATAAATGAAAAAGATATTAAACTTTAATTGGGCGACCATACCTTTAGTATCAGGCGACGATCCACTAGCAACATCGCTAATAGACCCCGTCGACAACCTTGCAGGCGGCGGCGGCATCTCGCGCACCGGAGGTGGTTCTATAGGCGCTTCCTTCTTCTCTTCAATCTTTACTTCTTCTCTCTCTTTCACCCCAGGACTTTTCCTAAACGCATCTTCTACGTGCGAGAAAGAAAGAGAACTATTATCTATGCAGTCGAAGAAATCTGAATTATCAAAACCGTCGGACTTTTCATCACTTCTCTTTCTCTCTTTCGGACCTTCAGGCGGCAAAGATTCGAATTCATCCTGTGGAGGTTCTGTTATGGTTATCTCTCGCAATGCTGCATATCTATCGTTAGAGTCTTCCTTTTTATGTTCTACGTTATTTTCCCTAGGAGATACACTACGTCGACTTTTCTCAATTTGCAAATTCATCATAACTGATTTTATATCTTCAATTTTCGCATCAATCTGCGAAGGTTTTGGACTGACAGAGTTTCTGAACATATTAAATGAATCAAGTGTTAATTCGTCTAACGATTTTAAAGGGCTTCTAGAAAGTTCTATGTTTTCTTCTTTCTCTTGATTTGCTTTTATTATGTTATTTATTGCTGTTAATTCCTCCTTTTCGTCCGAATCTTGCTTTTGTTCGTCTTTAAGGTTTTCTAAAGGGTCTAAGATAGATTTAGATTTCAATTCTTGTTCTTGTATTTCTCTAAATGCAGCATATCTATCGTAAGAAGGATTAGCTTTCTTGTCGAAATCGTCAAAATTGGCCACGAACGATTCTCCACTTTCTGTGGAAGGGGGCGCGAAGTTGTCTTCAAATTGAGGCTTGAAATCAGTTATCGGGGCAGTTGACGCTGTCGATAATTTGTCTGTTAACGTTGATTGTAATTTTCCCCTTGATTGAGGTCCCTTTGATGGTAGCGTTACCGTTGATGATAACGTAGTTCCTGATGTTATAGTTGTAGATGGCAATATTGAAGATAGCAACTTTTCTTTTTCGGGTCTCCTTAAGGAAGGTTCTATGTGAATGTGCTGTGGAGTGACAAAATAAATCTTGAAAAGGATAAGGACAAACTACCTAATAATGTGCCAACACTGACGGGGGTTTCGAGTTTTTAGGTTTTCGCGATCGTTACACATAGGAATAGGAATTTAAATTCACACAAATACTGGTCCGAGACATTCTGAAAAATGGACGTTTTGCGTCCGGTAGACATTTTGCGAAGTGGATATTCTGCGACTGAGCCGTTTTGTATACGTCGTGAAAAATATTTTGAGGAATTTCCAAAAGCTGTAGAACTAAAGTTGTACGTTTTGAAATATAATTACCGCTCTTTCATTGTCCGCCGCCAAATATGACCTTAAATATTCAGTGAGTTGTGGCAAAGTCATTGACGACAATGTTGCCTCGGGCACTCGCAATCTGTAAAAATATACATCATTATATATCTCAGCAAAGTAGTGAAGTCGTATTAAGGAGTCACCACACTTATTGAACCGGAATCGGCTTGAGCCATCAGAAAAATCTGTATGCGAATGCAATAAGATATTTGCAGTAGAGTTCCTAGTAGAAGTTCATTCAGAGAAGTACTACCACCTATTTCTGCCACCAAGCGGTATTGTGAGTAGTACTGCGTTCCGGTTTTGAAGGGTAAGGGTGCTGGTGAAATTATAGGCATATGAGATTTGTTAACTAATGTCTCAGGGTGACGGGTACAGAGGCAACGCCCCTCAGATCTTAGCGATTTAAGGCTCTGAGTGGCACTGCAACTGTTATGGACAGGCGTGTCAGTTACTACCAGGAGCACGACTTGTTCGTGTCGTTACGTAGTATCATAAAAAACGAGTAAAAAAGACATGCGCCTTTTCTGACCGGCTCAAGCAGATTCCGAGTCTATAAGTGGCGATTCGCATACTAAGGTAATACAATGGTAGGGTAGTAAATGGTAAGGTAGTAAAATAAGGTTGTAAGAGCGGTAGCCACGATAAGGCAACAGACACTGGTTCGAGTCCAGTCGGATCAAAGGAATTAAACTTTCGTGTTTTTTTATCTTTGTATCAATAATAATTATAACAAACCAGTGGAGTATATAAAACATCCAACAAAAAAAATATTGGTAATTAATACAAGTTTAAGTATTGCCATAGTAATGTTCCAAAGCGTAGGTCTGTCATCTCCTTCTAAAAAAATAGGAATTTGTTCTTTATTTTTTATCGTAATTAAGAGCCAGGCTCTTGTCGGTGTAGCGTCTTCTACTCCTTACGGTTCATAGCCAGGTCCTTGACCTCTTTATAGCTTCTCAATTTGACCTTCTTCTTTATTTGTTCACTATACCTACGCTTATTAAAGTATAAGAAACAAATATTTATCGTTACATATGGCTTTCTAACCATGTGCAAATTTATTTACTTGTCGCAGTATTTGTTGATAGACGCACTCGTGTACATGACGTAGTACACTGACCTGGCCGCAAGTTCAGGCATGGTGAGCACCAGCAACTGACTAAGCGTGATGTCAAATCGGCGCGCGGCTGGTAATGGCGGTGGCACCGGAGTTAGATACTCCTCCTCGCTGCTGTTCGTGGCCGCTGATGACAGACGAGGCTTTGTGCTGCGGTCCGCCTGTAATAGCCATTATATTAAGCGACTTTAAAAAAAGGAGGAGATTTTTGAGGTCGGTTTTTTCAGTACTCTGTACTGATTTATACAATCTAATACTACTTTTTAATATCAGACCCGCTAAAGCTGTAGAGTCTTTTGAAACTTTGTTCAAACCTTATACTATAGTTATTTTTTTCTCCTATTCTTAGGCTCAGATTTATAAAACGAACTTTGACTTCAATTAAGCAAAGACGAGCTTAGCAAGATTGTTACAAAACGAACTCTGCCTAAGTATAAGGAGGAAATTAAATTAAACTTGCTTAGACTTAAGCAAAGTTCTTTTGGACATAAGAGAACCTTGCTCAGCTTGTCATTTCTGCTTAGTTCGTTTTATAAATCTCAACCATACTCTGTTTTTGATTAAGTGTTATTTTTGTACTGTATACTCCTGTATTCTTTCTCCAATGGTTATAATTCATGTATTTTTTATATATTTATTTTAATTTATTTATTATTTTTTTATTTATTTATTTTATTCAAGAAATAAAATTATTAAATTCGTATTTAGGAGCATTTATTGAAACCTTAATTAATAATTATCTTTAGCCTGTAACCCGGAAAATGCCTGTCGAAAATTGCAATAAGTAATAAGTCGCCTGTTTTAATTGTCTTTTGTTTTATATTTTGTATTAGTTCTTGTGTGCAATAAAGAATATTTGTATTGTATTGTACTTTTTAGTGAGTCAACCGATTTTACGATTATGCAGCCGCATTACCACGGTAATAAAATGTGTATGTATATTAATATACGTTATATTATCTATTTATTTATAATACTCATGTAAGTACCGGTAATTTTTTTTTAATAATGACTACAGACGCTATACCAAGCCACGGAACGAACCAGCGGACTTCACGAATTTGTGTCTTTGTATTTGGTTTTTCAACGACTTTTTAGCCGTAGCGCCATCTATGAGAATTCTATGAAAGTATTTCGTCACCCAGTTAGATGCCTTTGCAGCTAGCTAGAGATGTCGCTATTAACTGTATTTAAATTCAATAAAAATTAATTTTTTTGAATTTTTTATTTACGTAGTTTATTATATTTCGCTCTCATTCTCTTTTGCACGTTGTTGTTTGGGTTAGCTGGAAGAGATCTCGTTTAGATATAAGTCCACTTTTGCTCACCTTGTGTTCAATAAATACATAAAGTTCATTAGCAGAAACTAAAAGGTACATTTAAAGACTGTTTTGAAACCATCTTTTGACTCACCATAGGTTCTTTTTTTCTAGCCGGACGAGGTAAAGGAGGCTTAGTATCTGAAATGTCCTCATGATCCAGTTCATGGTCATGTGGTGGCCGAGGCGGTGGTCTAGCGATGACAATATCAGCTATCTTCTTCGGAGGTAAGGGCGGCGGTGGTGATGTGTTCTCTTTGGAACTTGCCTGGGGACGCTGCCTTATTAGTGTGCTTATCCCGCTTGTGTCTATGTTCTGGAATGATTTTGGATAAATTAAGTTATTAATTGGAATGATACTAAAGATTTAGATTTAGAAAAGACTTAGAGAGAGTATATTTAACATGTTATGTATAGTATGGCACGAAATTCCAAATTGGGTGCGCCCCATTTGGATTAAAATCAAATAAACTAATTGTATAGATATAACAATTTTAATAGATAGAACAAGATTGTAATGGATAGAATGCTTATTTAATATAATTTTCACTTGGACTAAATACACATCCTTTATCCTAACTCCATATAATTCTCGTATGTTATAATTTTTAAAATTCACATTTTACAAGAATATTTGTGTCGCGGCAGGGGCATGGAATGCCAGAAGCGAATTTATTTGCGTTTTCGAATATGTTGTCGGTAAAATTTATAATTATAAATTAGGATTTTATTAAAACGTCAAAGTGGAAAAGTTTTTTGTTTCTTGGCTTTAGTTAAAATAAATGGTGTTAAAATGTATGTATACAGGTCAAATTTACAGATATGTGCGTCCTTAAATAGGTTTATATAAACTAAGGTTTATAACTTATAATTGTTATTTAAAACGAGTGTTAGAGCTAATGATTGTTATCAAAAATTCCATTTTTGAATGTATTGAATGATGCAATGAATGAACTGTTACATGAATAATAATAACTTTTTAACAAAAAAAAACCAACCTCAAAAGTTCGTGGAATTACACCTATTTGTCAAGTTTTATTGAAATCGGCAGCCGGAAAGTGCCGGTATCGCACCGGATTCATCCCCTAGTTTGCCACCCTTAGAGGTGGAATATTTTCTTCAAATTGAAATGGGACCAATACTGAGGTATCCTCTTTTCAATAACATTTCCAATAAAGAATAATCAAAATCAGTTCACAAACGAGTAATCGCGTAATACATACAAAAAAAAAATACAGTCGAATTGAGAACCTCCTCCTTTTTTGAAGTCGGTTAAAACAGTTTATGCTAAATAAAATCATATTAAATGAGCGTTAGATTAAAAATTAGGATGCTAATAAATAAGAAATGACGAGTCAACCAACATGATCATAATTTTGAGAAAATGGCACTTAAAGCTTTTTTTCGTGGTTGTGGCTAATGGATTTATGTTAACTGTTTTTACATTCTTTTTTTAATTTGGAGGTTTCAAATCACTTGGTTTATGTAGTGTAAAATGTAGACGAGATGATAAGCTACAATTTGGCATTAATACTCAATTTTCGAGTTTTTGTGGATTAACACATTCTTGCTAATCAGCATCCATTTTTAAGACACTTTACACACCTATTCAAAATAATAAAACAAACCTACCATTCTCTGCAATCTAGGCGACTTAGGCACCGGCTCCGGAGGTAAGCTGACTTGCAGCGGCCCATTGAACACATTCTTCCCATCCATACTGAGTTCCTTCTCCACCTTATCCAGTTCTCTGCTCAACTTATTCTTCAATTGCTCAGTACGTAGAGACTTTGGAAACTCCGCCATACTCGTGAAAGGATCATCTTTAAACGAGTCCGAAAACGGATCGGTGTTATCGAATGGATCTGTCTCTGCGAATGGGTCCGAAGAGAAGAAGTTATTTGACGTATACGAGCTAGGCTTTGCTATAGACACGGTTCCGCCTGAATGTCGAGACAGTGACGTCATTGTTGTGGAAGCCCCGTAATCTGTCGCACTGGCAGTCGTAACCTTAGGCTCTGGTAATATCTCTGACAGTAAAGACGTAGTTTGTGTTGTGGGTACGAGGTCTTTGAGAACTTTCTTTGGCGGATTTTTGAGCTCCTGAAAGAAGAGTTTTTTGTCAACGTAAGGTTTACTCCTGCCGGTGCCGAGCGGGTCAAGCTCGGTGAATACGTCGTAACTTAACGTCGACTCGCCCGACTGTACCTGTAAACACAGGTTTCACTTTTTTTATGAGATTTCTCTAGGTACATCGAAGGCCAAGACGGTCACAGGGGCACTACTGAGCTTTCCATAAAATGTTAGCCGTTGCCTCTACACTATGTGATGTAACAATACAAACTACAGAAATTTAGTTTTAGACGCAAAACGAAACATTTTATAGATCGATCAAGCAAAAGCCAATAGGATTTTGAAGACACATGCTTTGAAGAAAAGGGCTGGCAAACTTGCGTCACTTTCCGAAGCTAAAAAGAAACAATAAATTATTCCAGACTTTTACTTATCAAGATATTTTTATTTAGTCAACGTCATCAACACGATTAATTGTCAAATACGTCGACCAATACCTCATGAAAATAAATGTGTTTTATCGATTTAATGAATTATTTACATAACATATAAGGACCCTTTTATTTTAAAGAAATCTTTTTTCCCTATTTTTAAAAACGAATATTGATAATATTGCAAAGTTATTACTAGCGCCATCTATTAAGCTCGCTACTTAACTTGTCAAGTTGTCTGTCTTTAACCGAGAGGTGGCACGTTTACGTGAGAGATATTTGAAATTTGTTCATAATATTGTAGTCAATAACTATAAATACTTAGCCATGCAGGTTTTCCACGTTTTGCGTTACACATTGACCATTAGGGCTGCAATATCAAGCAGATGCGTACGGTGTTGGAGCTCATTAAAGGCCCCCATATATGAGACGATTTGTCTTCACGATATTGAAGATAGTGTATGTTTACATTTATCTTTGCGATCCGTCATCTCAGACTGATCGAAACGACGAATCGACAGTGTATGTTTATGTCGTTAACGATTACCTTGAGTACGAAGAGAGTAGCGATAGATCGATGCGATTATCGCGACGATCCATCGAAACGAGGAATCGTTCGTATATGGGGCCTTAATGCAATAAAATATACTTATAACTTGAACCATGGCGACTCAATAAAAACTTGACAAGGTTTATTGGTACACCGCAAAAAATGAGTTTCAAAGTTAACTGGTCATTACTTTACAAAAAGAAACGAACAGCGAAAGTTGAAACGCAACTTCAAACGCATCGAACAATGCTAGCTGTAGTTCCAGAGGCGACACAAAAGCAAACCTCGGTGCTTTGGATTGCAGTGGAGAAAAGTATGTCACTTTTAAGAAATGAATTAATGAAATACTACGCTACTTTTGTTACTTTGCGTTGATTCAAGTTGGAATTGATGATATGAGTTTATTTATTATTTATGATAAGATTTTATTTAAATAAAAAAGTAAATCGACCTTCAAATGTAAGTTCATGTTACAATAGGAACTTTATTGGTTGCGAAAAATACACATGGAAGTATTGGAATGCATTATGCGATGAATGAATATTCCAATCAAATGTGCCAATGTAATGAATGACATAGCGAAGGATGAACTGATACCACAGATACAACCAAAATAATAAACCGGTAATGCAGATGGTACGGGTGAATAATTATATGGAAAATGGCAATTCTTATTAGCGTAGTAGTGTTTGCATATTTGTAAAAAATATTTAAAACTTTTATAATTTATTTAAAATAATTTGGTATGGAGCAGACGCAGTTTCGAGACCTGGCAGATCGAAGGAATTTTTCTTTGTGTTCGATCTTCGTATTAATAATGGAGTACAAACTAATGGAGTAAAAAACTTTCATAAAAAAAATAAATTAACATTACTGTAATAAAACATCATAATAATCATTACAGTCAATATTTCAAACCTGGTTTCGATCGATTGTTTTAACTAGATCTGTAATAAACAGAAACCAGATTTGGTATATTTACTTAAAGAAGTAATATTAATTTTATAATCATGGTACCTTCACTTGATATTTCGGAGTTATTGTATTAAGTTCCATATTTTTGATATATAATTGGCAATTACTTCACTAGGGTAGTGTATGTAATTGTAAAGTTTTGTAATCGTAAACAGTGTTTAACATTTTTAAGACATTTACTTTGATAATTGTTCTATTGATAAATCGCTCCATGTATGACAAGCTCAGACCAAACTATCTTTCAAGCGTATATTGCGTAAGGATCGGTTTGACATTGTATTGTCAAAACCAAGAATCTATAAATATAATGTTGCTTTGGGCACATATTATTATCATCATGTATTATTATAATATATATGTAAATTTATTATGTATGTATAATAAGTATGTTTATATTATCTTATTTATTTTATACCGTACAAATTATCGATTAGCTTCTAGTATATTGTGCTTCTTGTATAAGTGTAGTACCGACCTATTGTTTTTTTTCTGTTTGGCCCAATGGTTGACTAGTAGAGAATGCCTTATGGTATTAAGTCCGCCATTTGTATTGTACAATAAATTTAAATAAATAAACAAATAATTTTCATGATAATTATCCAATATACATCCGATAATTATCCAAGCTGATTCATAGTTTTGTCTCTTTAGTTTTTGACCAAAAAGGACAAACAGTGAGAAAACGAAATAAATATGAAAAAAAAATATCTGGCAAAAGGATTTGGTTTGGGGCTTTTAAATTGACATTTGACAGGTTTGAATACGTCTCGGATACAAACATGCCATGCTATGGCACATCTTTTCTAGCGGTAGCATTTTGTCGTTCCAGTTCATATATTTATTAAGATAATTATCGTGAAAATAGTAAAAATAGAACTGTTTTGTTCTGATTTTTCGCCTTTATTTTTAATCTTTCAGGGATTTCAGAAGGACGTATTATCCACTGTATGTATATCACCTATTAAGTAAATATACTCGGTCCGTTCCGATATCTACTAACAACGAGCAACCTGAATCAACGCATGCGGGACATATATCACATATACATACAACAAAGTAACCAAACTCCACTTACCGAAGGTTCATCTGCGTGAAATTTATCCAACATTGAAAACGAAGACGGCTGTGACGTTGACGGCGCGGTGTCGAAGTCTGCGGCGACCGCGCTTAGGTCGAAAGTCGCGAGACTCGGTTGCTTGTTTGGACTGAAGACGCGGGAGGATGGAGTGTTGCGACCTCGTGTTGAAGAGCCTGACGGAGGAGGGGGTAGAAGGCCCTTCTGAAATAAATGTCAGAGACGTCAAGAATAGTCGTATCACTGGCGGTAATACCATCTCTAAGATTTTAAGGCCACAATATACGGGACGATTTGTCTTCACGACGCGACGTTTCAGATTGTTCGAAACGGCGAACCGAGTATCTTTAGGTCGTTAAGGATTAACTTGAACGCCAGGGGAGTAGCGGATCAATACGATTATTGTGACGATCGATCGCAACGAGGAATGGTCTATATGTCGCGAAACCAAATACTGTCGTAACTCAAAATTATGGAATGGAGACAACACGATTCGAAAAAAATACAGATTGGATCTTAATGCGAATAATGGATTATTTTTATTTATATATGATATTTAGTTATTCATCTATAAATTATTATAATATATATTTATGGTTTTGGTTGAGAAATTTTTTGAACTTTCAAATCGTGTCTTCTCAATTCCACAATTTTGAGTTGGGACGTGTTTGGTTTCATGGCCTTTATCAGCCTTTAGTCCTCAGTCATTTTCTACCAGTGAGATGATGCAACTTTGATAATCACAATTTTAATCATTATAACCTATAGTTAACACTGTTCATGTAGTAATTATACCTGTGATTGTGGCGGAACTATGAAGGAATCTCCAAAAGGATCCGTCGAAGGCGTTAGGCCCTCGACTTGCGTGAGCCCTCTCCTCAACGAGCTTAGTTCTTGTTCCAAATCGACAAGTTCCGCTACGCCTCCCTCAGCGCCCGTTTCTACGTTTTTTGTTGTGGATGAACTTGTCTCACCAGTTGACGTAATGCTCTAAAGAAAGATTAAAATACATATTTTTTCAGCTGGTATGACAAACTCGGTGGTCCAACGGTTTCCACTATGGGCGCTGGATGCGGAGGTTCCAGGTTCGATTCCCGGTGTAGAACCAATTTGGGAAATGAACTTATCTAAATTGGTTTTGGTAAGGGTGGTCCAGATTCCGTTGCTCTGGTACTCATAGTATAGGGAATTCCCTAGTTTGAGACCAGACAATTCGTGGGGTTGTTAAAAACAACTTTAACCCTACTAAACTATGTCAACATTATTGACTGACTGGCTGAACGGTTACCGTGCCGGACTTCCACGCACAGGTCCCAGGTTCGATTCCCGGGCCGGACGAAATATTTGTATAGCCTACATTTATTCCCTCGTGAGTTTGGGTGTAATTTGTGGTTGTCTTTGTGTGTGACCATGGCATCCGCGACAAAAGGTTTCACTAGTGCAGGGCTATGTTGAGTGTGTGCGTTATTATTATTATATTATACGCCCCACTGTTAGCCACGTATCCTTTTAAGGAGATAGGAAGGAGAGACGCCCACGCTATTCTTAACTATGGATGTTATCCTAATTTTATTGGATAATGAATTCTAAAGAGCAGAGGAATTTCGAAGGAATTCTTCGAAGGAATCGTAATTTGATTTATTTGACGTCGTTGAATTTCAGCAATATTTTGTGTTTATTAATATTTTTTGGTTCATCGAGAAGAATCGACGAGAAGAATAAGTCGTACGCTTGATGGTAAGCTACACGCCTGTCCATAACAGTTGCAGTGTCACTCAGAGCTTTCAATTGCAAATATCTGAGGGACACTGCCACTGCGCCTGTTACCCTGACACATAAGTTGACAAGTCCCATGTGCCTGTAATTTCACTCACTCTTACTGTTTAAAACCGGAATGCAATAATGCTCACATTACTGCTTGGCGGGAGAAATTGGTGAGATACTTTCCTACATGAACTCTTTCACAAGCAGCTCTACATGTTTACGGGTCGCCTCACAGGCGAGGGTTTAAGCCGTAGTCCGCCATGCTGACCCAATGGGGGTTGGGGACTTCACACGTTTCACGAGGGTTGTGAACCTTCTTCGACGTGCAGGTTTCATCACGATGTTTTCTTTGATCGAAAAGCTCATGATGAATTTCAAATTAAATTTCGCACATAAATTCCGAGAAACTTAATAAGTGCGAGCTTCTGGATTCGAATCCATGGCCTCTGCTTGAGAGGCGGTAGGACAAACTATTAGGCAATCACGGCTTTTTTAGTTATACCGTTTTATTTGACATTCATTATTATTGTTGTCATTAGTGGCGATCATATTATTATCCCTTGACATTATATTATAAATTGTAATAATGTGACATTGATAATATAATTGAGAAATAAATGAGTGTGTTCTATTCTGATTTAATGTCTTAATATCCCACTGAGCAATGCTTTGCAAAGTTTCAATTTCATCACATTGCCGGCTATTATATAACATACGAGGTTTAGTAAATCCGTGAATTTGAGAAGAAAAAAAACTTTGATTTTTTAAATTATGGTCAATTTTTATACGTAATCTCCTTTTAAACTCTGCAGACCTCGATCAGCGATATTCCAACTTCAATCTATCAAAAACATTTTTTTTCGTCACACTCTGAAAAACATAGGCGTCTGTTTCAGTTATCATTTCCTTATTTGATGTGAATCTTTCTCCACCGAGCCATTTCTTCATATTTGGGAAGATATAAAGGTCAGATAGGGATAAATCTACGGGTTCGTACCGTATTTCGACAAGTTTTGATGTTGCGGTTGCAGATGTGAAACGGAAAACTCGTAATTCCATTTTCTCCATCTTTAAAAATACATAGACCTCAACTTTTTTATTTCTAATTTATGTCATTTTCGCGTTAGTTTTAAAAAAGTAACTTCAGTTTCTTAGTAAGAAGTTCTAAATTAAGAAATAAAAATAAATTCCGAAAAAAGCTTTTATTTAACCACGTAATTTAATCACGTATTTTCCAAGCCCTCGTACACTCGTGATTGAGGTCTAATTGCATTTAGGGAAGACAAGCGTATATTGTACCGGCACCCTATGATGGCCGTTTTGATGTTTGTCCCTCATCAAGTTTCGTATTAACTCGTAATTATGTTGAAGGAGCTAATTGATATACATTGTGGTCAATAGTGACGTGCAGTAAAATAATACATACGTAAGTATGTATAATTTTACGATACAACTTGGCATTTGTTTCTCGATATTCGAAATTTAAAAAAATTATATCTAATACGATAGTCACTTACATAATTGCGGTCCAGCACAACTTCTACCACCGGCAAACTCGCGACAAAGCTCAATGCAAAACAAAACAGTTTCGAATTGACGATATATTAAGTAAACATTTTTATTTTCGTTTTAAGCAAACTTTTTAATCAGCTACCCTTTGCAATACTAGTTATAAATCTAAAAACTTATAGATGCGCCTCGCATTTGACTATATTTTTTTCGATAATGAATACAGATTTGACCTCACTATTGTAATCTGTCAAAATAGCCATCATAGCGTGCCGGTACTGTAGGTGCGTCAATAGAATGTTCGATTCGAATTTCGAAACAATTTATAAGAAAACTATAAACTTAGTTTTTAATCCGTTTCTTGGACCTAAAAACAAGATCGTTTAAAAAAACACACAATATTCTCTAAGTTTCCTTATAGATTTCGAATGAAGCAGCAAATTCATTTTAGATATAGAACACTCGAGTACTAAAACAAATTCACTATACCCAATTAGGAGTGTGCGTAATGGATGACTGAATGTTATAGTAGGCAAATCGTGAATGTCAAAACATGGCCATTGGTGTGCAGGGCTGACGCGCTTTATTGACATTGACATGAATGTTTTGACGCATCTTGTACTACATCACCCGTGAATCTTTACAGTCATTGAGTTATTGGGTAATGAGGTAGAGTACTAATTAATCGGGGTGTGTAATGATTGATATAACAACAAATGATCTATTTTCACTGGGCATAACAATATAATATAAGTGATATAACAACAAAAGGTATAATTTATTGTGTATAATAAACTTTTAGTATAACAAACATTAGATGTAATAATTAACTAACACAATACTTAATTAAACATATATTTAGTTTTACAAGTAACTGACGCGCCTAAGTGAATACATTAGCAATTATACTCAATGAATGTATATCTGGAATATTTATATAAAAATGTATATTATACCACCGATTGAAAGTTTTTATATCAATCGTTTATTATACCCAATCATACTTTACGTAATGCTGTAATCAGTATTAATGAATACCGAAAATAATTTAAATGAAAAACAAACCGACATTGGGTGTCACCTATGGGGAAATTCGAAACTATAGACAGGGAAACTCTCTTAGGAACCATTACGACACCATTAAGGCACATTATACAAAAGAGCTCGCTCATGCAACAAAATTATTGTTTATGATGTTAGTAATATAGTCCTGTTAGTTGTTAGTATTTTACAAATAATCTTGTGTACCTACTATACACTTGGCTATCATACCCTTCTGTGCACCTACCATGATATTATGACATTTTACGTGATAAATAGTAATAGGTCACAAGAAGGACTAAAATTATTCATACGAGTGTTTTAAGCGGTAGCTAGCGACAATTGATAGTGCGTACTCACCTTAGATTTATTGCTGGATTCAATAATGCCACTGGCTGTATGTCTGATGATACTGCTGCTCGAGATCGCCTTGCCTTCCACCAGCTGCTGTTTCGCCAGCTCCACTTCTTTCTTCTTCAACTCGAACACTACTTGAAATAAGTCCCTCATTGCTATTACTACCTGTAAAATGTTATGAGCGCTAATTAGTTTTACTTACTTCGGTGGCGCAGTGGCCCAAAGTAACCTTGCTTAATGTTATAAAATAAGTTTTATTCAGGTCAATATTAATTTGGCATAGAACCTGTTGTAGCCAGTACTCCAAGTGTGTTTTACAAGTTTGAAGTAAATTCAAAGAGTAAACGATTATTAATAAAAAAAATGCTATTACAATATAAATGATGCATGTGTGACAAAAATTTGGTGGAATAATAAAAGATACATTAAATTAAATTAAATAATAATTAAATTGTGTTAACTATGAAATCTCTTTTACATTTAGTTACTGCATTGTATACCTATTTTTATTTTGTATGCACTTACCTATCTAAATTTAAAATGAATGTAATGTAAAATTCTATAAATATTATTGTTATTACTGAATGAATTATAAATTAACTATATTACATCATAATTTAATGCATGCATTGGAATTGTTTACCCTTACAGATCGCCACATGAATTACTTTCCAATAATGTAGTAGCTTTAATTGTATTTTATATGCTTCCATGCAAATAAATTATTTGACTTTGAGTAAGAACCAGATGTACAATTTTTATACATATCAATACATATCATAATGCACATTCGGAAATGAACTTTGGCAACAGTTTATCCGCAGTGCGGTGGAAACATTTGGGGTACGTACTTTTATAGGGCATTGAATTTTAACAAGCTACACTAAATAATTAGAAAATAGTGATTCGACAGATTTTGGATTTAGGTCCCACAATATGGATAATGATATAAAAGTACATTTATTGTCACACAACACTGACGAATTAAAGTCATGTTTAACATATGACTAGTGCTTTTTTAATTGGTCTCTTACGCCAGGCCGGCCCTTAATTGAGTGTATCCTTACAATACGTACATTGTTATAGTCACAGACATATATTTAAATTGACTGAGAATTGAGAATTGAATTGTAAATGTATATAGGGCGCACTATAAGTTTCCGAAACGGCCAATTACATAAACAATATTTAAAAAAGTAATTACAACATTTGAAAATGGAACTCTTTGGCTGTAGAATACAGTTTGCGTCATCTGACTGTCACTTGTTTTTACATAGTGGTGTCATTTTAGAAATTGGTTGTCTACATCACCATGGATTTAACTCGTGAAAATTTTCGAGGTATGATTTTCTACGACTTTAAGATAGATAGATAGATAGATAAACACTTTATTCACTGATATAACACAAATACAGATTTAGCATAAAAAAAAACAAAACATGATTGTCATAGCAGTGAAACGGCGCTGACTCAGCATATGCCAAAGTTTCCTAAGGCGCTGGTTTTCAGTCAGAACCAACGAGAGGGATTAAGTTATTAGAAAGCAAAAATATAACGACTTTGAGTAAAGTTATACATTGACAATAATAATATACATAGTAAAGTGTAAATAGTGCATTTAAAACAACCTGCTTGACATATAAGTGCATGAGCAAATGTGAATATAATTACAGCTGTAGGTGTAAGTTATGACTGTAAAGAGGATTTAATGTTGTGTAATGTAATTAGTATTATAATATAATTATACACATAATAAGAATAGATCAAAGCAACAACAAAATTCGATTCTAGACAGACTACGTTAAAGAATAAAAACACACTACACAGATTTTTGAAGTGAGAGTAGGTGTTGCCGGTACAGTGCTTTGAATTTGGGTTTGGATGTCTCGTTGCGTATAGGTGGTGGAATATTATTCCAGCACTTTGAGGCCGAGTATTTGAAACTACCTCGAAAAGCTGTAGTTCTATGTTATGGTACCATAAGAACACAAGATCGGACAGATCGCTCTCTGTAGCGTACATTAACACTAGATGACCACATTAGTTTATCATAAAGATATTCAGGTGTTCTAGTTTTTACTATATAGAATAAAAGTTCTGCATACAGGAGTTTTTGACGAGACCCGATATTTAGTAGATTTACAGCGTTGAGATAAGGAGTGACGTGAATACGAGGGGGTATAAAAAAACAGAATCTGGCACGTGCATTTTGGACACGCTGCAGAAGTTTGTGTGTTTTAGACAAAATGCATGGACCATACGACGTGATACAATAGTTGATCTTAGATAATATCAATGCTTCACATAGAGAAATACGCAAATCAACACTGAGAAACGGTCGAATACCGTAGATCACTTTTAACCTATAGAAGCAACTGCGAACAAGTTCGGCGACATGAGTGTCAAATTTAAGATGACCGTCTATAATTATATCCAAATTTCGGGCCTCCGCTACCTGAGCAATCTTCTCACCATTAATTGAAAGAACTGGCGCATGTGACTGGATGTTTCTCACTTGTTTACAAGATCCTAGAATCAAAAGCTGAGATTTAATTGGATTCAAGACCAAGGCATTGTTCCTGGACCAAATAGATAAGCGGTGTAGATCCTCATTAATGAGGCTGGTACTTTCGGCGGTTCTATCTGGATCGAAAGACAGATGTAACTGAACATCATCCGCATAGAGGTGATACTTGCAGTTTTTAATGCAGCCCGTGATATCTGAAGTGTAAAGCACAAACAGCAACGGCCCCAATATAGAGCCTTGCGGCACGTTACGTTTAAGTGTAATTTAACAGCTCAGCGGAGCTTCACTCGGCTTCAAACTACTTTTGGCGATGAAGCATCATGCAAGACGACTATTTATAGCTGATTTGCAGAATTCAAACGCGGTCGTGTGAATTTCAGTGATGAATTTCGCAGTGATGGTCGCCCGTTCACTGCTGTGAACAACAAAAACATCGATGCTGTGCGCCGTATGATCAAAACAGACAGGCATGTGACATACCATGAGATTCGGGCATAGGCATGAGTCAAATACAATCAATACTACACAAACATTTGGATGTGAAAAGGCTGTGCTCTCGGTGGATCCCATACAATTTGACTGAGGCTCAAAAAACGGATCGCGTCACTTGGTGCAATGCCATACATATCAGATTCAACGAAGGGGCGTCAAATTTGGCGTGGGACATAGTAACAGGTGACGTAATATGGTTTTATAGTTCCGATCCTAAAACAAAGCAGCAATCGAGTGTATGGGTGTTTCGAGATGAGTCGAAACCAACCAAAGTGGCGCGCGTGCAAAGTGCCTCTAAGCGGATAATTGCTCCTCTTTTAATGAAACTGGATATGTGGCTACTGTTGCTTTGGAGAATCGTTGTACCGTGAATATTGATTGGTACACGGCCATTTTTTGCTGGAAGTTACTGTCAAATATATATCTATATCTGTAATAATAACCGTAAACGTTTTACGCCGTATCATGTTGCACCACGATAATGCCAGTTCTCACACGGCCAGACAGGCAAATGAATTTTTGAAGGTGAACAACGTTGACCTTATGAGTCATCCCACGTACAGCCCCGACCTGGCACCTTGTGACTTTTATTTATTTCCAAAAATTAAGAACCGGTTACGCGGTCAACGATTTTCATCACCCGAAGAGGCTGTCGAAGAGTATGAAAAATATGTTTCAGAGATTGCCACGGAGGAGTGGCATAAATGTTTTCAAAATTGGTTCATTCGTATGAAAAACTGCATTAACGCTAATGGAGAATATTATGAGAAACAATAAATTCATTTCTGATCATTTATAATATTTTTTTCTTATTAAATCCCGAAACTTATAGTGCGCTCCACGTACCTACTTCGCGTGCCCAATGTAATATAAAAACGCTTAATTTCCGCTACTATGCTTCAAAACGCGTCCGGCCGGTATCGTAGTTAACCATCAGTCGAAAACGTAAAAAATTTCTAATTGTGCGATTACAAACTTCAAAACCATCACATCTGTGAGTAGATGAATAAACAGAGACGTTTCCTTCTACAGTTAAGTCATTCTGTAATAAAAATATGCATGATCTATTTTAAAATCAAATATTTTGATTTAGAAGAATTTCGACAAAACCAATATGCAAACGCGTGTATGCCGCACGATTCGTAATATATTGCGACTTTTACTTGGTACACCTTGCTAGTCCTTCTTGAGTAAAAAATGAATATCGAACGAGCGATACTTTCGTATAATGCATCCACTTTCATGGTAGGTACTGTCGCTACGACACAAAGTCAGGTTTGTGGTCATGTGCTTAGTGTGGTGCTGTGGGACTGTAGGAATATTTGTATAACGTAGCATAAGTTAAGTGACGTATCTTGATGCGTTTCTATGCCTGTTAAGTCTGTACTATTTAAACCGGGTCTAACTAGGGTCCGCATAAGTATCAATAGTAAATTTTAAGTTTTAAATAATTAGAACACAAAGTTGTCTTGTTTCAACCAGTTTAAAATTCGTGATCAAACTGTTGCGTGACCAAACGCCAACTGAACAAAATCAATGTCAAAAGTCATTGAGACTAAATCGATTTACATCAATTTGTTCTTCGTAATTGCAGTTTTCGAAGTCATGTATAAGTAAATTGATATGAATTTCTGAAATGCTCTATAATCGATCACCATTGCCACAAGAAGTTCTGTTTTCGTAAATGTTACGGGCTAAGGCAGAATATCAGGGTTATGTACTCTATAGCTGAGCTTCCTCTGAAGTCGAGTCTTACAATGGTTTAGCATGGTTTTTCTTGGTATTATTTATTTCTTTATTGCGCATTAGTTATAGAGCTATCAGCCTAAAAAGATAACAAATAGTTAAGAAACTCATAACGTAACAGAGACTCGATATTTCTTTTATCTTTAATTTTTCATTCCATTTTTTTATTATAATGCACATCACATAAAGTAATGTTGATTCTTATATTTAAATTTCGAAATAAATTTTAGTTCCCCGTACTAATTTCCCACTAATCGCAAACATATCGTCTCCGACATTGTGTTACCGAACTTGTTTGTTATCATATGCACGATTACCAGGTTAACTATGGTCGAGCCTTTTTATGCATCTCGTAAGTTCCGCTGCTTGATTCGGGACTCTTTTAAGGGAGGGTTTTAGG